TAGAACTCTAGCTCAAGAGGATCTGATGCCCTCTTCTAGCCTCCTTGGGCACACACACACACACACACACACACACACACACACACACACACACACACGCATGCAGGCACACACACATCTACACATACATATAGGTGTGCAATAAATCTTAAAAAGAAAAAAATTCAAAATTCAAGTCCAAATGAATCAAAGACCTCAAAATAAATACATTCACACTGAACCACACAGAGGGGAAAGTGGGAGATACCCTTGAATGCATTGGTACAGGAGACCACTTCCTAAATATAATACCAATAGCACAAACACTGAGAGCAACAATTAATAAATGGAACCTCCTGAAACTGAGACGCTTCTGTAAGGCAAAGGACATGGTCAATAGGACAAAATGGCAGCCTAAAGAATGGGAAAAGATCTTCACCAACCCCACATCTGACACTGGGATGATCTCCAAAATATACAAAGAACTCAAACTACCAAATAATCCAATTAAAAAATGGGGTACATATCTAAACAGAGAATTCTCAACAGAACTGTCTCAAATGGCAGAAAAACACTTAAGGAAATGCTCAACATCCTTAGTCATCAGAGAAATGCAAATCAGAACAACTCTGAGATTCCATCTTACACTGATCAGAATGACTAATATCAAAACACCAATGACACCTTATGCTGGAGAGGATATGGAGAAAGGGGAACACTCCTCCATTGCTGGTGGGAGTGCAAACTTGTACAGTCACTTTGGAAATCAATATAGTGATTTCTCAGAAAATTAGGAATCAATCTACCTCAAGACCCTGCAATACCGCTTTTGGGCATGTACTCAAAGGAAGCACACTCACACCACAAGGACGTTTTCTCAACTATGTTCATAGCAGCATTATTCATAATAGCCAGAACTTGGAAACAACCTAGATGCCCCTCAACTGAAGAGTGGATAGAGAAAATGTGGTACATTTACACAATGTGGTACTACTCAGTGATAAAGAAACAATCTTTAAATTTGTAAACAAATGGACAGAACTAGAAAAAAAAACATCCTGAGTGAGGCAACCCAGACCCAGGAAGACAAATATGGTATGTACTCACTTATAAACAAGTACCAGACATAAAGCAAAGTATAACCAGCCTACAGTCCACAACCCAGAGAAGCTAGATCTCTGCCGGAAGGAGATGGAAGGAGACGCAGAGATCTATTACTAATCATTGGGCCGACCTCCTGGAGTACAATGGAAGTGAGGGAGCAGCGATAATATGAACAAAGGAGTCAAGACCATGATGGGGAAACCCACAGGACCAGCTGACCTGAGATAGTGAGAGATCACTGATTCCTCTCTGTTAAATGGGGAACCGGCATAGGACAGAACTAGGGCCCCTGAAAACAGGTGACAATGATGTGACTTGGGCAGTATATGAAGTCACTGGCAGTGGGACCAAAATCTGACTATAATGCATAAACTGACTTTGTGGAGCCCATTCTTTATGGAGAGATACCTTGCTCAGCCTAGACATGGGGGAGGGAGGGCTTGGTCTTGCCACAATGAGATGATGAGACAGACTTAGTAGACTTCCTAGGGGAGGCTTTACCTTTTCTGAGGAGCAGAAGGGAGGTTGGATGGGGGGGGATAAGAGGAGGGAGGGGAAACTGGGGTTGGAATATAAAAAAATAAAATAAATGGGAAAAAAAGAAGAGAGGAAAAATCACGTTTTTACAGATTTGGACCCTGACACGTAAAAGGGTAGAGTAACTTGATTCAGTTCACATTGCTTGATTGCAGGCACTGGGATGGAACATGGAGCTTCACACTGCCAAGCAAACACTGTGCCACTGAGCTAACCTCAGCCCAAGTGTGCATTGTCAACTAGAAGCAGAACGAGAGTCTGAGCATGAGCAGTTACACTCTGGAGGCAACACTATTAAATCACTCCTCTCCGGGCAATGTATCCTCACCAGGTTCTCTTTGTGGTGTGGCTCTGGGAACATTGCAGTTTTGTCTGTCTGTCTGACTGATTATTTATATAATGATAATGATGATGATTGATGAGATAGAGTCTCTTATGTAACCCTGACTGCCCTGGAACTCACTATGTAGACCAGACTGTACTTGAACACACAGAGACCCACCTGTGCCTGCCTCCAAAGTGCCGGGATGGAAGTCCCCATGCCTGGCTAACACTACCTTTGTAACGGTGCCTCCTGGGCCATAGCCTGAAGGATGCCTTCTGGAATTATGCCATAAGCTAGCCAAGCTTGCCTCTCTTCAAGTCTTCACCCCACTGCATCTCCATCTTTTCATCTGACACTCCACCTAAAGTCAACGATCTCATTTTATTGAACCTTGTAGACACTTTTCCATCTTCACATGGGTTGAACTCTTAGTGGAAGATAAAATGTCTAGCCTACTTCTGGGTTTTGAAAACCCACCAATCCCTGAGCTCAAAATCCCACCAGTCCCTGAGCCAAACTCAGGACTTAAAATCCCACCAGTCTCCACCCTGGAAAACTCTGCCCCCCATGAAATTTTTTTAAAATTATTTATTCATTATGCATAGGATTTTTTATCTGTGTACATGTATGTACCCCAGGAGAAGGCATCAGACCTCATTATAGATGGTTGTGAGCCACCATGTGGTTGCTGAGAATTGAACTCAGGACCTCTGGAAGAACATGCAGTGCTCTTAACCACTGAGCCATCTCTCCAGCCCCCCCATGAAATTTTATATAAGCCTGCCTCCCACTAGTCCCCGGCTGCTTCTCACCCAAGCAGGGCAGCTGCTCTCTGTCTTTCCCAATAAATCTCTTGTGTGAGGTTTGTTGTGTGGTGTGACTTTGTGGTATTCCTTGACTCTAGACCACCAGGATACCTTTCCCCTCAGAGCTGCAACACTTACTTTTGGAATGTTGACTACTCCCTTCTGCAAAGAGCATTTTTCCCCTTTAGAAGCTAGCTTTCCTTTCTCCATCTTTGACTTCTTTTCTTGGGATCATTTGTTAGTTTGCCATCTGTCCGTCTGTTGAATGTGGGAGTCCACATGGTCATGGCTCAGGCCTTCCTCTTGTCACCCTCATAGTAGGTAGTACTATCTACGATCCTTCTTCCTTTATCATCTAGATGTCTGTCTTAGTTAGGGTTTCTATTGCTGTGAGGAGACACCATGACATTTAATTGGGGCAGACTTAACAATTTCAGAGGTTCACTCTATTATCATCATGGCAAGAGGCATGGTGGCATGCAGGCAGACATGGTGCTGGAGAGTTCTACATCTTGATCCACAGGCAACAGGAAGTGAATGAACTGAGTCCCACAGTGGGTGTAGCTTAAACATATGGGACCCCCAAAGCCTGCTCCCACAGTGACATACATCCTACAACAAGGTCATACCTACTCCAACAAGGCCACATTCACTCCAACAAGGCCACACCTCCTAATAATGCCACTCTCTATAGGCCAAGCATTCAAACACACGAGTCTATAGGGGCCAGTCCTATTCAAACCACCACAGTGTCTTGAGACTCTGAAGGTTCATCTCTAGTCTAGTCATCTCACGATGCTCACAAGTGGCTCATTCACATCTTTCTCTATTTAAGTCTGTCTGCTTTTATTTTACTGTGTGTAAGAAATATATATCCCAGTGGAAAACCTGGATGTGCAGATTATTGTTCAGTTTACTGAACAATAGCAATGTGAAATTACTATGTAATTACCACCTAGACCAAGAAAGGAGCGTTGTTTGAAGTTCAGAAGTCATCCACACACCCTTCTGGGATCATAACTAGCTTCCTCCTTCCTGAAGCCACGAGGCCTAATTGATTCTGTTCCCTGGGATGTTTTTGTAATCTGTCCACTGCTTACATAAATAGCTCTAACTTAGGTAATTTAGGTTTTATGCCTTTATAAATGAACTGTGCTGTTTGCTTTCTTTTCACACTGCTTTCTATAAGGGGAGAAAAAGTCTTCTTCCTCTAATCACCTAGGCATGCTGCCAGGGTACAAAAGTTAACTAACCAAAGGTGAACTAGAAGCTGGGCTTGGTGGCACACACCTTCATCCCAGCCCTCAGGAGGTGGAGGCTGCAGCCCCAAGAGTCTGAGGCCAGCTTGAGCTGCACACCAAGAACTTATGTGAATAAAAAGGAGGGGATTAACAAGAGAGACTAAGAGTGTTTGTTGCTCAGTGGTAGAGAACTTGCCTAGTGTATACATGTCCCTGGGTTTTGTCCTTAGCATCCCTAAAATAAAGATACCACTGTCTCAAAAAAAAAAACCCATAACATTTTAATAACAGGGGCTGGAGAAATGGCTCAACAGTCATGACACCTGTTCTGTGATCCAGATTTGATTCCCCAGCACCCACATAGTGGCTCACAGATACCTGTAACTCTAGGTCCAGGGGATCTAGTACCTTCTTTTGACTTCTGAGGGCACCAGGCATGCACACAGTGCACAGACATACATGCAAGTAAAATATTCATACATATAAAATAAAATAAATCTTAAGAATCCTTTCCTATTTTGAAGTGCTTTTAGAGCTAAATAATAGACTGTTCTTCCAGAGGTTCTGAGTTCAGTTCCCAGCAACCACATTGTGGTTCCCAACCATCCTTAATGAGATCTGTTGCCTCTTCAGGCTTGTGGGCATACATGTAGGCAGAATACTGTGTACATAATAAATATAAATAAATATTTAAAAAAGGTTTCAAAAGCCTACTTCAGGCTCAGTCAAAAATAAATAAAAATAAAGGTCGAGTCAGTGAATTGGATCAGCAGGTAAATGTGCTCGCTGCCAAGCCTGATGACTTAAGTTTTGTCCCTGGAACCCACATGGTGAAAGGAGAGCGCTGACTGCCACAAGTTGTCGCTGACCTCACATATGACCCACACTCAGCACACTTGAGTAGCGCTTTTCTCTGAGATTGAAACATTCCATCTTGCAGGAAAGCTCCATAAACCAGAAGGTAAACAACTCAACATAGCTTCTGGATGACCTTGAAACTGACCAGACTCACTAGCCCCTCCCTCCCAGAGTAAGCAGTAAAAGCTGGTGAAAGTCATTCTCAGAAAGGAAGAGCTTCAAAGAAGAGCTTGAGAACAACTGAGCCATCTGGAAGGGACGCCGAAACCTGCTGAGCTGACAGCAGGCTGTGCAGTGGGCTCCAGGTTCCCAGATTTTGTGAGCTGTTACCCACGCCGGGGCAGGCTTTGCTGATGAGGCTGTCTTTGAGTGGTTTCTGCTCCTGTAAGTAACCACAATAAAACTCATTGGTTCATGAAATTGGACTTTGGTCTGTGGTGGGCTCATGTCTGGGGTGACCTGTGTGTTGTGGCTCCCCAGGAGTCTTGTCACACAACAAACACCACAGTAAATAAATATAATGAAAACTTAAAAAGGTTCATAAAGTAAAGTATGTAGAACTGAAGTGTATGTAGTTCAGTAATAGAGAGTTTGCCTAGCATGTTTGGGGCCTATGTATAATCTCAGGATCTGTCTCTGTCTCCCTCTCTCTCTCTCTTTCTCTCTCTGACACACACACACCCCTACCTATAGTCCCAGCGGAAGCAAAAAGGTGGCTACAAGCTTGAATCCTAGGTCCTGTCTAGAAAAGAAAAGTAAATAGCTAATGTATGACTATTTATCTGACTTCATTTGTAAGCAAAACTGAGGAGACAGAAGCCAAATAGTTAAAGGGGCGGGGTAGGGACAGGGCCAGCTTGGATATAGCTCAGATTGCTAGGGTTTTTTGGGTTTTCTTGTTTTTGTTTAAGACAGGGTTTCTCAGTGTAATAGTCCTGGCTGTCCTGGTACTCACTCTGTAGACCAGGGTGGCCTTGAACTCACAGAGATCCGCCTGCCTCTGCCTTCTGGGCACTGAGATTCAAAGTGTACACCACAACCACCTGGCTACAGATTGCTTTCTTTCTTGCACAAGATTCTACTCAGTCTCCAGTAATACAGTACATATGTTTTCTCCTGTGTGTGTGTGTGTGTGTGTGTAGAGGGAAGAGGGTAACTCATGGAAGTTGATTCTCTCTGTACATAATGTGGGTTTTAAGGACCAAACTCATGTCATCAGTCTTGGTGGCAAGTGCCTTTACCCACTAAGCCATCCCCCTGGTCCCTTAATAAATACATATTTTGAAATAATAAAAATTAAAATAAAGGGCCAACAATAACTCCAGGTTAAGGCACTGGCCGTATAAGCCTGGTGCCTGCCAACTGATTCCCATCCCTGGAATCCACATACAAAAGTAGAAGGAGAGAACCAACTCCACAAAGTTGTCTAATGACCACACTGTGTGTAAAAATAGTAATACATAGTAAAAAGATAAAATAAAATTTTAAAGCTTAAAATGGGTGGCATACCTTGAATTTCAGCTACTCAGGAGACTGAGGCAGGAGGATCACAAATTTGAAACTAGCCTGGCAGTTTGATGATAATATTAAAACTTTAAAAATCACTAGGTTAGGGCTGTAACTCAGCAGTAGAATGTTTGCTTAGCATGCAACCTGGATTCCATCCTCAGTACCAGATGAAGAGAAAAAGTGCATCTCTCTGTAGGCTACACCAAATCCCAGATATAATGTGTCTCCTGAAATGTAGACTGGGGTTCCAGCAATGAGAATTATTGAGTGATGGGGCTGGAGAGACAGGGGAAGTTAAGAGCACTGGCTACTTTTCCAGAGGACCCGAGTTAGATTCTTAGCATCTGTGTCAGGCAGCTCACAAGCATCTGTATCCCCAGCTCAGGGACTCTGATGCCTCTGGTCTAAGTGGGCACCTGGACTTGCATGCACATACTCACACATAATTAAAAATAGCATTTTTCTAAATCTTAAAAGAATTATTGAGCCGGATGGTGGTGGCACATGCCTTTAATCCCTAAGCAGAGGCAAGCAGATCTCTGTGAGTTAAAGGCTAGCCTGGTCTACAAAGTGAGCTCCAGGACAGCCAGAGCTATTACACAGAGAAACCCTGCTTAGGGGTGGAGAGGGGGAGGAATTACTGAGTGTCAAGGGACGAGAAATCATATCTTCTGAATACTTACATGATTATAACATTGTAACAGTCTTTGTAATTTTTTTATACTAAAATTTTTCTGGAGAAACGGCTCATCATCTAGGCATATGCACCGAGGCAAGTGTTTTAACATGCTAGACCATTGTCACCAGCCTTTCAATCTCTCACTTGAACGTTGATACACTTTATACCTTTTACTACATTGGAAAAAGATTAGTGGCTTCTCACTGCTCCCAAGGTACAGTTCCAAATTCTCACTACAGATGTGTGTCCGAACAATCTGCTCCCCGAAACCAAGCTCTCTAGCACCAGGCAGAGTTTCCCCAGGGAGAGACGAGAAGACAAGGGAATGGTTTGTAAAAGGCCTTCTCATTATTCTGCGTGATGACTTTCCTCTAGGAGGCATTTCCTGACCTCCAAGCCTGGATCAGACCCCGGGTCTGTGCTTTTTAGTGCTTATCTCTCTGCAATTATTACACAAACTCCAGGACATTCCCAACCAAGTTTGTTTTGTTTGTTATTTTATCTTAGAATGCCTGCTACACAGAAAAATACTTAATGTTTCCCAAATGTGAGCCTTGAAAGTGCGGCTCAGATTAATTTAACAAAGCACCAGGCCAAATCCACGAATGGGAGCTGGGATGCCCGCTCGTCGGCACATCCTGCTGACTCACTCTGCATGGTACACCCCATCACCCCCTCACCATCATCCTTCTGCACAGCCTCTCCACTTACATTCTTCATTCACTGGCCATCTGATTTTGATGGAATGCCAAGACATGGATACTTCCTTAATATAGCAAAATCAATACGTCTATTTAAATTCCCATTGAATGAGAATATGCGAAATGCAGGGGACAGAAGCGGTGGACCAAACATGAACAAGGTGTGATGTTATGTGTGTGTTTACACTTTCTCAAGGATTATTTATGTAATCCTTGAGTGCTCACTTGTCTGTTGCCCCATGGCATGCAGTGCCCAGTGAGGCCAACAGAAGGCGTGCAACCTACTAGAGCAAGAGTGACAGGCCACTGTGAACTGCCTGACATAGGTGCTTGGGATTAAACCTGGGTCTTCTGCAAGAGTAGCAAGTGTTCTCAAGAGTTGAGCCATCTCTATAGCCCCAACGTGTATGCTTTTTGTGTGTTTGCTTTTGTTTTGTTATTTGTCCCAGTTAGGATTCTGGTTTGTTGTTGCTTTTCTGTTTTTGTTTTCTTTTTCTTTTCTTTTTTTGGTTTTTCGAGACTGTGTATCTTTGTAGACCAGGCTGACCTCAGACTCAGAGATCTGCCTGCCTCTGCCTCCCGAGTGCTGGAATTAAAGGCGTGCGCCACCGCCCAGCAGAATCTGTTGTTTTGATAAAACACCTTGGCCAAAAGCAACTTGGGGAGGAAAGGGTTTACTTCAGCTCTCAGCTCATAAATCCATCGCTGAGGGAAGCCAGGGCAGGAAGGCAGGGCAGGGACCACAGGCAGGATCTGAAGCAGAGGCCGTGGAGGATTGCTGCGTTACTGACTTGTTTTCATGGCTGCTTTCTTACATTCCCCAGGATCACCTGCCCAAAGGTGGCACTGCCCACAGTAGGCTGGGCCTCCCCACATCATTTACTAATTTGTACCAGACTTACCTACAGACTTACTTACCTACAGACTTAGATCATTTACTAATTGATACCAGACTTACCTACACACTTACTTACCTACAGACTTACATCATTTACTAATTAATACTAGACTTACCTACACACTTACTTACAGACTTACATTATTTACTAATTAATACTAGACTTACCTACACACTTACCTACAGACTTACATCACTTACTAATTGATACCAGACTTACCTACACACTTACTTACCTACAGACTTACATCATTTACAAATTGATACCAGACTTACCTACACACTTACCTTCAGACTTACATCACTTACTAATTTGTACCAGACTTACCTACACACTTACTTACCTTCAGACTTACATCACTTACTAATTGATACCAGGCTTACCTACAGACCAATCTTATGGAGACATTTCCCCAATCAAGATTCCCTCTTCCCAAACTGAGTGGTGGTGGCGCACATCTTTAATCCCAGCACTTGGGAGGCAGAGGCAGGCAGATCTCTGTGTGTTTGAGACCAGCCTTGTCTACAGAGTCAGTGCCAGGACAGCCAAGGCTACACAGAGAAACCCTGTCTTGAAAAATCCAATAAATAAATAAGACAAAAATAAATTGAATTGTCCCATTTCTATAGCACTTAATAAGCACACCTCGGAGTAAACTAGAGAAGAAAAGGTGAGAAGACATTGAGGTGCTACTGTTGAATGCAAACAGAAAAGTACCAATAGAGAGATGTGCTACATTCTGACAGGAAGAGCCAACACAGGAAGATATCAACTTTTTCTAATTAATCTGTATGCTCAGCTTGGATACCAGCATGAGTTTGTTCAGTCCTAGTACAGTGCAGGCAGGCGTAATCCTCAGTTTGAACAGTGTGACACAGAGCTGTGCCCAAACAGCATTGTGTGTGTGTGTGTGTGTGTGTGTGTGTGTGTGAGAGAGAGAGAGAGAGAGAGAGAGAGAGAGAGAGAGAGAGAGAGAGAGAGAGAGAGAGAGAATGAGAGGACAGCTTTCAGGAGTCAGTTCTCTTCTTTTACCATGTGGGTTCTGCAGATCAAAGTCGGTCACCAAGCTTGGCATCCAGTGCCCTTACCTGCTGAGCCATCCTGATGGCCCCAGGAGACCATTTCTTTGAGTCCCGTCCCCCTTCCCCGCCACTCCCTTATCTTATTGAACAGAATGTAGTAATTAAAAAAACCTAACACATTGGAATAATTATTAAGGGTTGGTGTCATTCGGCTCTAGCACAACAGAGGGAGAGTTTTATCTTGGTGGAGATGCATCGCGGCATTACTTTGTGCAGAAGGAAGCTGGATCCAATTTGCAGTCAACCTTAAATAACCCATCTACTCAGACTCCTGGGATATGTTTTCCTGCCATACTATCTTGATGAAGGCCAGCAATGGAGTGCCTAACACTTGGATCTGCAAGAGCTGCCTTTTATGGAAGGAACAGTCAGCCCTGAGCAATCCTTCAAGTTCTGGGTCGCCTCTGCTGGCCGTGCGGTGTCTAAATCCACGAGCAGCAAACCTTTGCCAACGAAGGGGCAAGAGACATTTGAAAGTTTCCGTTTTGTCAAAGGTAACCCACACACACATGCAGGCACGCACGCACACACATGCAGGCACACATGCACACTCATGACTGCTACTTCTGAGCGGAAAAGATTCAGCTAGCCTAGATTCCTGTTCACCAACAGCGCTCCCTCAGCCTCTCACACAGTAGGTGTTGAGCACCCACCATTCCTCTCAGCCCTTGGGTTCCACTGTGCAGGGCAGAGGGATGTCTGGGTGTGCCCTGAGACGTAATGCCTGTGAAAGACGGGACCACCGAAAGATGTTTGTGCAGGGAGCTGGGTACAAACCCCCTTGTCATCTGCAGCTGACTTGAACACATGGCTTCCTCTATCTGTCTGTTGTCTCCTTTGTGCGTGCCTTGAGGACCGAGTAAATTCATATCGTGGGTGTGTTGAATACCCCCCTGCAAGTACTCACACATTGTTGCTTATTACTGACACTGTCCAAACCAATCCCAGGGAGCTTCCAGGAGTACCTTTGAGGGATTATATTTTCATGTCTTTCATTTTGTCCTAATGGCCTAGTGTTTCTACGTAAAACCCAAGAAAATAAAGGATCTCAATTGTCTTTATTTGCATGTGGTTACAGTTTATAAATACACTTGCCATTTTTCTCCTGTTCCCAGACTCTCCTGGATACCTGGTAATGATACCTAAACCCCTATGCTCACTGTCTCACTGTCCTCTCCCCCAGGAGCAAGGGAGGGGCGCTCCTCCACGCGGCTTCATCTTCACCCAGGGTCTACCTTGGTCCACACGGTGTGAGCCCTCAAGGCCTCTGAAGGTTGGGGATGAGCACCATGAAGCCTTGCCAGGTCCCTGTGACCAGCTTCCTCCTTTGCCATGTTTAAGGTGCAGAGAGTCACGGTGGGCAGTAGCTAGGGTCACAAGCCATGCCCTCGTCTGAGGCTGAATGTGTGCAGCCTCTGGGACTGGTGGGTCTGCAACAGTCTCAGGCTTGCTCAGATAGTAGTAGGAGTCCTGGGCAGGCGCCGTGGCCTGCTAGTGTCCGGTTCTGTTCTGAAGAGCTGTCTGAGGCCAAGTCTCTCCGGGCTCTGCTTCTCAGAGCCTGCCCAGACCTGCGGGTCCTGGTGGGTAGAGCAGCCTCAGGGAGGAGGTGCTGGGCCCTTGTCCTCCTTGCCTCTCTCAGATACCATCCGGCATCAGGTGGCACATAGGTTCCTTGGCCCTGTCAGAGGGCGTGGCACCCTACTGTCTCTGTCTCAGCCAGATGCCAAGCTTTGCCATCCTCCTGGTAAGGTGTAGAGAGCACTGAAGGGTCAGGGCCCCCCTCTTCAGGAATGGGGTATGGAGGCTCAGGGGGGGCTGGGGGGTCTCCAGGGCCCCGTGTGCCCCCCAGCACTGGCCCATTGTATATATAGATGTTGCCAGTGACAGTTACAGAGCCTCCGGTCACATGAATGCCATTTGCACCTGAGGGAGAGAAGGCCAAATGAGAGGGGAAGCTTCCAGAACTCTCGTCTCCTCCCAATCCCACCTCTCATTAACTATTCCTTTCTTTGAGTCAGGCTCTCACACAGCCCAGGCTGGCCTAAACTTGCTGTGTAGTGGAGGATGGTTCTGATATCCTGATCCTCCTGTTTCCAGTGCTGGGACTACAGGTGTGCCCACACCCCAGCTTCACTATAAGTGCTGGGACTACAGGTGTGCCACCCCAGCTTCACTATAAGTGCTGGGACTACAGGTGTGCCCACACCCCAGCTTCACTATAAGTGCTGGGACTACAGGTGTGCCCACACCCCAGCTTCACTATAAGTGCTGGGACTACAGGTGTGCCCACACCCCAGCTTCACTATAAGTGCTGGGACTACAGGTGTGTCCACACCCCAGCTTCACTACAGCCCTAAGTGCTGACCATACTCCTCTGTTTCTGACTCTTCCCTTCTCTTTTGCCTCTGGATCTTTTCATTTCATCCGGACCTTCTTCTTTCTCCCCGCCAGCCCACCCCATCCCTCCCTTCCTCCCCACACTCCCTCCCCCCTGTGGCCCGCCCAGCTCACCGTGGGCCACCTGGCTATGTTCCGCAGGCTCCGTCTCCAGCTCCCTGGCCTGGACCAGGGGACTCTGCTGTTGTAGCACCACTTCCTCCAGGACGGGGGTCCCTGGGGGTCCAGCAGGGGCTGGGGACAAGTCTCCAGGCATGGGTAGAAGTGGCTCAGCCAGGTCAGGGAAACGTGGGTTGGCTTTTGGAGTGGGGCAGGGGGGAGATTCTTCTCCCTGTAGAAGAGAAACAGAGAACCAGCCAACGTCAGAGGCCTAGACCTCATGATGCCTCAGTTCCCATGCCCTATGCCTTGTGCTCTGCAACTCACTGTCTGTCTCTGTGCCTCACCGTGCCCCTTGCCTCAGGCCTCTGCGCTTGCCGCTCTCCGATTTCTAGAGCGCTCTCCTCAGGTTCCCTGGCTGGCTTCCTCGTTTCTTCCACGCAGTGCTCAGATAATGAGCGCATCCACCCGCCACTCACCGTCCACTCCACTTTGATAACTAGAATTATTATTTAGACGGCACTATTGTTGCTGTTGTGTTTGAGGCAGGCTCTTATTCTAGTCCGGGCTGCCCTGAATTTCCCAAACTCATGGTGATCCTTCTGTCTCGCCCTCTCAAGTGCTGTGATGACAGGATTGAGCCACCATCCCGGATAAAACATTTTTTCCCTCCTGTGGCACTGGCAATGGAGCCCAGGTCCTGGCACTGGCTAGCTAAGTGTTCTAACGTCACGGCCTTTGAATTTTATTCTTGTTCCACTCGTGTACAAACTCCAGGTGCGAGCTCCTTTCTCGGGCTGCATGTCTGGTGCCTGGAATGGTGGCTGGGACAGGGGCAGCCAGAAAGCAATCAGTGGGATGAATGAGGCTAAAGTCTACTCTCCTGACCCCACAGCCCCGCCCTCCTTGCCGGCTTCTCCCACTCTTTTACCTCTGGATGCCTCTTGAGCAGAGTCCCTAAAATGAAAACCAAAACAGGGTGAGGGGCCTGCAGTTCCCAACCTTTCAACCTCCACCCAACGAGTGCTGCCAACCCCGGTGTCCCAGAGGGTAACAGTAGTTACCCTCATCCCTAGCCTCAGAATGAGGGCCGGCAGAGAGAATGGTATCTGGCACCCTTGAGAGCCTTGTGCAGCAGGGTTTGTCCTTGAATATCCCTCCCCTCCACTGTGGGGACAGGAAGCAGTGTCTCCTTCCTACCCAGCTTTCTGCAGAGAGAGGGGTGCCTCGTCCAGGTGCAGGCCAGGGTAGAGGTGAACAGCAGAAGGCAGACCAGCGGCAGCAGGATGGCCAGCAGCAGCATTGTCCCTGCTGGGAAGGCAGACAGGAGTGACACCAAAGGACATGGGGGAGGAGCCTCTCCCAGACACCAGACAGCCTTTTCCCTCTTGGGAGCCATTTCCCTTGGGTTGTGGACCAGGGGCTGAGATTGGCTTTGGGAAGGGTCTCTTGGCCACATGAGAGACAGAGAGAGAGACTGCCTGGGTGGTGATGTCTAGACCTCTTGCAGTCAGTGGGTGAGAGCTCTGGTAGCTGGTTTTTAAGACTGGAGGTAGGTGAAGGGCAGCAAGAAGGGGAGGTGGTGTCTGGGTCCTAAGGGGAGAAGCCTGTTTCTGTGACTGGACCTGAGACTGCCCCCGTGTGACTGTGAGAACTTCATTTCTCAGCCTGGTCTATGGCCCTCGGGGAGAGTAGGAGTTGCAAGCTGCTCTCCCCCTTGCTCATGGCGGGGCTCAGGAAGGAAAGGGGCAGAGAGATGGGACTTTGGTTTCCTAGGCTTGCCCACACGATTCACCCACCGCTGCGGCCTAAGGGAGTGAAGAGTGCAAGGCGTGGAGAGAAACCGGACCAGGGGTCTGGAAGCAAGTCAGCTCACCTATCCCAGCGCTGGTTTGCCATATATAAAACAAGCAGGCTAATCAGGCCTGCTGGCTAAAATCCTAGCTCTGAAATACTAGTGATATTTGGTGCATAGCTGGACATTTCTGAGAGGTCACGGGAAAACTATCTATGACACCCTGAAAGGCTAGTGAGGGGCTGGGGGATGGCTTAGTGGTTCAGCACCTACTTAGCATGTGCACACTCCTCCCCCTCAAGAAATGTCAAGTTATAAAACAGCGTTACCACTCCACTTTTAGTAACATTTTTATATGAATAGAAATGCATAGGAATGTATGGGACGGGGCAGACCGAGATAGGAAGACTAGAAGGGCTCTCAGGTCAATGGGTGAATTTTAGTTAAATCTTCATTCTCTCTCTCTCCCTTCTCCCTCGCTCAGAGACAAGGTTCCATGCAGCCCAACCTCAAAGCCCTGCCTTCACCTCCCCAGTGCTGGAGTGACAGGCATGTACCACCACACCTTGTATACGGTCTCAAAAAGTACTACAGCACGTGTACCTTTTAAACAGACCCTGAGTAAGAAAGGCTTAGATACAGACACTAATAACTCGATTCACACCCCACCTCACCCCAGCCCCCGAGTGATCTCAGGCAAATCATTTAATGTCTCGGTTCTCTCTTCCCATCGGTGTGAATGAATAACTCCACTTTATAGAATCATTAAGCAGATTAAGTGGGACCACAGAGGGCTTCAGAGTAGTTCTCAATACTTGGAAGCTGTAATTACAAATACCTGCTCGTTCAAAAATGTTACTAACATTCTGGCAATTAGTAATGATTATGGTTATCAGAAACAACCTACAGTCAGCCACCAGGCTGGGAAACCGGTGAGGTTCCTAGAAGACAGAAACCAAGAAACAAGAAAACCTAGAAAGAGTCAATTGGAGGAGCATGACTCCAGTAGAAGTGTGTAAGTGAACAATGAGGTGATTCAGTTAGTAAATGAATTCTATGATGGAAGAACGTCCAAAATAATGACAAAGTCAGTTAGAATTACAATTCAGCACAGGAAGCTGTCCTGGCACAATATATGAAATTTTTAACGTGTAAGAATATAGTCTAAGGATGTTCTAATTCCCATCCCCTCTTTTAAGGCAGACTCACTGGGTAGCCCAGGCTGGCCTCAAACTCTTGATTCTCCTGCCTCAGCCTTCTAAGTGCTGGGGATTACATGGATATAATACCACATCTAGCTTTCCAAGTTTTTGTTTCTTCTTTTAGTGGTACTTGGGTTCAAACCAAGGGTTTTGTGCATCCTAGGCAAACACTCTACCACTGAACTATATGCTAGCCCCTTCCAATTTCTTTAGAAGGAACGTTTCTTTTTTTTTTGTCTAATCCCAGGTGGAAAGATGCACATTCCCCGGTTTTTCTGGATGAGGAGGACTGAGGCGTTTCCCCAGACCCCCGCCTCGTGAACCTCAGCCCAGCGTCTCACCTGGCTCAGATTGATTTCTACAGACCGTGTCAGAGTGGGGGGTGCCTGGAGCTGCCTCTACCAGGCCCTGGGTCTCGCATCTGTGGAGGGAACAGGACTGTGAGTCTGTGCTGTTCTCCGTGGTACCTGGTGCTCCGGGAACACATGGTAGGGGAGTGGCCAGGTGAGCGAGGAGTCAGGATGAAAGGACACACCGGTTGGGCTTCCTGGAGTTGGGGGAAAGTGTGGGGAGGGGCACTCTCACCTGGTATGGGGTTGGCAGCGGGCTGTAGGGGAGGAAGTATTCTGGAAGTATCCTTGCTTGCAGGGGACACAGCTGATGTCAGTATCCATAACCTCGTCTGGCAAGAGAAAGGCGGGTCAGTCAGGCTGAGTGGACAAGCGTGAGCCCAGCTGTGGGCTTCTTTCATGTCTTCCCCCCCCCCAAGCTTGGCTTTGCAGCCTGCCATTTTCCCCAAGCCCCCCCACTGCTGGCAGGAGCCACCTCCTAACTCCTCCCACTGTCCCAGTCCACGACTCGGCAGACCACCCTCCTGAGCGCCTTCCGCAAGGAATGACAGGCATTTCATGTCAACGAGAACTCCAGTGGGGAGCGCCGGGGGACACACTACACTCCTCCCTGCCCCTGACACCCAGCAGTCTTCCACGGGCCGCCAGTGACCTCTGACCTGTAACCTCGGCTTCTGTGCCGGGCTGGCACTTCATAGGTCGCTCGCAGTGCACACACTCACTGCCCAGATACACACAGGTCATCCCTGGCTTACAGCGGCACTCGGGTTTCCGATCACTGGCGCAAGGGGCAACCTCCTCGAAGCCCAGCACTGGCGGGGAGAAGAAAGAGTCAGAGAGGAGCCGGGGTTCCGGCTGTACCCATCATCCGGGCGCGTCTCCACTCACCGGAGTCACAGGAGCGGCACAGCTGGCAGAAGGAGAGGTGGTTCCAGTACTCATTGTAGGAATTGTGGGGGCAAGTCTTACACGCTGTGTCTTGGCTGTGGCTGCATACGGCAGAGACAAACTTGCCTGCGAGGTGAATGGGGCAGAGGGCAATCAGCAGACAGGAGTCTGCGTCCATCGAGCCTCTCCTTGGCCTCTTTGTCCCTGTCCTGTCCTCTTGGGCAGCTACCCACTTCAAATCTCAGTGCCCGTGTGACAATGGCCAAGGCTTCTCAGTCCCTCTCTACCGGCTAGTTTTACAAGTGTTGGTTGGTGACACCCTGGCCCACCTCTAACCACCCAGGCTTTCTGTTCTCACCTGGGGGACAGCGGGAGCAGCAGACTTGATGCTTGGGCTCGTAGTATTCCTTGTCCTGGTCCCAGCACGTTTGGTTTTCTACGCGATATGGGGGCACCTTCCAGGGGGAGGCGGAGACAGAGAAGAACAAGGCAGGGTCAGTTCTGGCGGGCAGAAGGGCTAGAGAGAAGCCTGCCCAGGCCCCTTTTCCCACCTGGCCCATCCCACCTAGCCCCTCCCTCACCGGCTGGGGCTGAGACGCCGTCAGGACACCGCAGAGTCCCAGCAGAAGTGGCCCCCAGGCCAGGCCGCAGGGAGAGGCCCCAGGCAGGCGCATGGCGGCCTTTTGGGTCGGCTGACCAGACCGGGTGGAGGCCTGAGAGGAAAGTGGGAAGCCCGGACGTCCTGAGCAGCGTTGGCCACGACTTCCCAAGCCTGGCGGCTGGGCCGACGTGCCCCCGGGGGCCGGGAGCGGCCGGGCCTGGCCTCCAGGGCTCCAGCGCCGGGCTCAGGAAGTGGGAGTGGAGAGAGCCGACCGGGGGCGGGGGCAGGGAGCTCTGGGAGCAGAGGCCGGCCTGTCGCAATCGCGACGGGGGGGAAGAGGAACAGGCTTGGCCGCCTCGACGCAGGGCGGGAGGGGGTGGCCGGGAAAGCACGTGAGAGCTGCAGGCCCGGAACCCGGGCCTCCACCTCTCTTCTGGAGCCTGGCCCTCGGAGGGGCTGCGGATCGGGACCACCCGCTGGCGGAAAAGGGGCAGCAGAGCCATCAGCCAAGCCTGGCGCAGAGCTGACCCGGGAACGCATGGATGTTGGGGCAGAGCAGTGGACATCTGGGTGCCAGATTTGCAAAGCAGATGCACCAGGAATTGACAGTGCATTCAGCAGAGACACCCAGAGGTGGTTAGCAGATGCCACGTCTGGCCAGTCACCCCATTTGGCAGAAACTGAGGCCTGCCCCACTCTGACTTTTTGCAGAAAAGCTACCATAGTAACAAGCCATCCGGCCTCCACCCTGCTGGCCCGCCCACACCACACACTATTGGGCACACCACAAGACACTGGAGAGAGCGCAGCTGGTCCCGAATCTGCCTTTCTGTCCTCTGGGGAGCTCTCGGAGGGAAAGTCGGGGGAGATGTGAGAATCTAGGTCCTGATGAGTTGGGGACCTCGGGCTGGGGCTGGGTAACCCGGTTCCAGCTTGTGTGTCCATAAGCCTGCGACTCTCTTTGAAGAAAGGGACCTGAGCATAGTCAGTGTAGTGCCCTACCTCTGGAGCAGAGCACCCTACCTCAGGGTGCCAGGCAGAGGAGTGCAGGTCCAAGGCTGTTTAGCCTGGTGACCCCTCCCCCCACCACTTGTGACACCCCTCTTTCCCCTTCCACTGGCTGCCACTCCCCAACCCTGCCCCCACTCCCCAGATTTCAGTCCATGCCTCCAGCTATCGAGCCCCTCCGAGGAAGACTAATGTCTGCTTTGTGTTGCCTGTGGGATGGCCTATTGCCTGGTTTGGATATGAAGTCTGGGCTCACAGAGTTTAGCATGATCTGGCTTATACCACATGCCAGGTGCCACACCACTTAGCCAGTCTGGCAGAACGTACCTGCAGTCCAGGTCTGGTTTTCAGAGCCCAGCTCATATCAGCATCCGTCCTGCCTTCCTTGGGACTCCAGGGGACTCAGGGATGAGGGAAAGTCTTCTCCTAGACACCTCACCTGAGAACTAACCATCTTCATGGTCAATTAGATATCAGGACAGGCTTTGGATGGAGATATGAAATGCTGGTGCAGGAGTGAATTTTAGGAAAGACTGAAGGGCCCTGCCTGGGCCTTAATATGTCACTCTGTCTCCTCACTGGGTGTAGGCCCAGCAGCTACACTCTGCTGGCAATTGTCTGCATCAGTAGCCTAAAATGAAGGCTGCCCGGCAAGGGAGGAGATACCTGAATAGCGGACCAGCTGTGGCCTCTCTTCCTCTAGGCCCAGGGGGTTGGGGCAGGGACTAGACTCACTTGGATCTCTTAGGAACATAAAGGAACAGGTGTGTAGCAACCTTAGATAATTTCCACTCTTGTTTTGTATTTTATTAGGGAAACTTCTCATGTACGATCAAAGAGAGGAAACAGCAGTGGGATCCACCATGTTGTCATTACCTAGCTTTAGCTGGTGGCCAATCTTCTTCACATAGTATGTGTATCTTAAAGCTTGTCAGTCTTCGCACCTAGATTGACTTAAAATTTCCCACTTGTCTATTTGTACATGTGTGTAGTAAGTATGTGACTGTGGATGCTTTCTCGATCAGGACTCAGAAAGCCGTCCCCCCCCAACCGACCTTCTTCAAGAGGATGGAGACTTCTGGGTGAGAAACGCCCAGTTATTAGTGAGCACAGCATCATCTTTGCTTCTTTCCTCTTGTGCATTTTACTAGCGTCCAGAAAATTTTACCCCCAAAGATTTATTTATTTATTATGTATACAGTGTTCTGTCTGCATGCATCCCTGAAGGCACCAGTCTCATCATGGATGGTTGTGAGCCACCATGTGGTTGCTGGGAATTGAACTCAGGACCTCTGGAAGAGCAGCCAGTGCTCTTAACCTCTGAGCCATCTCTCCAGAGTCATCTCTCCAGCCCCCATCCTGGAAACGTATATCAGTGTCCACTGGGAAATACCAGACAGGGAGACTCCCAGAAGGTGTGAAGGGCTCTTCTCCCAGGCTTCCTTCAGAGAGGCTTCTCTCCACAGCCCATGAGTAATCCCCAAAGAGAACTGGTATGTGTGGGTCCCCCTAAATACTCCTGTCTTCTTCCTCTCATTTCCCTTAGCCAACTGATGCCCTTAGCCAGCCCAAAGGGCCACTAGACACCAAGAAACGAGGCTAACAGATGGGAAGTGAGCTTCTCTAGTGTTGGGAATGTCACTGGAACAAAACTTACCCAGTCTTTCTCAGTCTTGCTGCTTTGCTCCCCAGAAGACATTTGGCAATATCTTAAGACATTTTAGGTGGCAACTGCTTGGAATTCCCACTGTCTCCCAGTGCACAGAGGTCAGGGATATTGCTGTGACCTACAGTTAAGACAAGCTCAGATAACAAGGAATTGCCTGACTGGGATGCCAGCAATGCTCCTAGGCATCTTTCCAGGTCACTAAACAGGATGGCAGAGAGAAATCTTCTGGTCCATCGCATTAGATTTATACAATGTCAAAGAACATGTAAGGATGTTGGTTGTCACACTAGGCAGCCCTGTAGTAAGCACCAAATATAAGAGTAAAGGGGTTCATTTAAGTGGTGGCACATTTTTAATCCTAGAGGGCATATAAGCTGAAAAGGGGAAAGCGGTGGAAATTTTGATACATTAACAGATCACACAATCAGTGCGCTATCCGAGGAAGTCAAGAAGTTTGATGTTTGTATGCATTCCTCTCTGTCAAAGATAAACCTTGGGTCCTAGCCAAGATGTGAGACTCTGCTGTCTGCAGAGTGAGCCAACAAGCAGTGGCCATTAAGTTGGGCGTGGTGGCATACGTTTGTGACTTCAGCACTTGGAGGATGAGGCAGGAGGATCTGAGAGCAGCCTGGGCCACAGAGTGAGTGTCTCAGAAACAAAAGCAGTATAACCACTAGTCGCCGAGGTCACCAAGACAAACAAGCCTGGTGCCTGTCCTCAGAGAACTGGTAATATGATCTGCACACATGTAGGATGTGCACGTGTGGGCCAGTGCATTAACTGTAGGCATCAGGAGGTGTTGAGGTAGGCTTCCTTGGGAGTGTGAGGAAAAAGGGGTTCCTCCAGTCATCTGTGTCTGGGATGAAGAGGCAGGAAGGGCCGTCAGTCCTAACGCCCACCCCACTGCAGACCCTGAAGGTTCACATCTCTCCCTACAGCCGCTGCATCGTTCATGGCCATACTAACAGTTGGCGGGTGACTGGTATGGGGCAGGGAAGGGATGGTTTGTGGCTCTGAGAGAGGCAACAGGAAGCCCTGGACAGGAAATCTTTTCAGGCAAGCTAAAAGGACCCTGTCATGCCATAGGAGTCTACTCCTCTGGAAGTCAGGAAAGCAGCACCAGACTTGGAAAACAATTCACCTCAACCCTGGTGGCCCTGAGGCCTTAGATCCCCCATGTACCAAACAAGGGGCTAAGTGCAGTCAGCAGGCAGAGACTTTGTCACTGCACAGCCTGACACCCCACCTCCTACTCCTTCATTTTTCCAAACGAGAGCCCTGGGGACACAGAGGTCAAAATACCCTCCCTTCCTCCCTCCCTCCCTCCTTCCTCTTTCCCTCCTTCCCTCCTTCTTCCCTCCCTCCTCCCTCCTCCCTCCCTCCCTCCATCCATGCTTGCCTCTCTCCTCCCTCCTTTCTTCTCTCTCCCTCCCTCCTCCCTCTTCCTCCCTCCCTCCCTCCCTCTCTTCCTCCCTCCCTTCCTTCCTTCCTTCTCTTCCCTTCCCCTTCCTTCCTCCCTCCCTCCCTCCCTCCCTCCCTCCCTCCCTCCCTCCCTCCCTTCCTTCCTTCCTTCCTTTTAAAAGACAGAGTCTCAGTATGCAGCCTTGGCTACCCTATCACTCACTGTGTACATCAGGCTGCCCTTGAACTTATAGAGATCCACCTGCCTGTGCCTCTCAAGTGCTGTGACTAGAGGAAGCATCACTATGCACAACTTAGAATTGTCTTTTCAAGGCAAACAGTTTAAAAATAAAAATAGAGCTGGGCAGTGGTGGTGCAAGCTTTTAACCCTTAATCCCAGCACTTGGGAAGCAGAAGCAGGTGGATCTCTGTGAGTTCCAGGCTAACCTGGTCTACAAAGGGAGTTCCAGGACAGCCAGAGCTGTTACACAAAGAAACACTATCTAGAAAAAAAACCAACAAACAATGAATAAATAAATAAACAACAAACAAAAATGGAAGTCATAGAGTGATACCTATGATATGGTCCCACTTATGGTTTTTTGTTTGTTTGTTCGGAAATACATGTGAACTGGCGTGGTATACATATCTGTAATTGTACTGCTTGAAAAGCTGAGGCAGAAGGATCATGAATTCAAGGTCAACGTTATAAAGCAAGTTTAGGACAGTTGTACATTGAAACCCTGTCTCAATATACAACATCAAAACATGTAAGTCTAGCTGGGCAGTGGTGGTGCATGCCTTTAATCCCAGTTCTCAGGAGGCAGAGGCAGGTGGATCTCTGTGAGTCTGAGGTCAGCCTGGTTTACAGAGCAAGTTCCAGGACAGGCTCCAAATCTACAGAGAAGCTCTGTCTCATAAAACAAGCCAAACCAAACCATGTAAGTCTAAAAGACATACAGAAATAGATCAGTAGATGAACCAGTCATAGTGGGTCCCTTTGGGCCGGGGGAAGGAAAGAAATAGGACAACGGGAAGGTTTTATTGTTTTATGTGCTTCTGCACTGCTGGGAAACTACTATGACAAAAATGTATTCACAGTCCCAGCACTTGGAAAGCTGAGGCAGGAGCTCTACTGTGAGTTCCAGGCCAGCATGGGCTACAGAAGGATACCCTGGTTTGGGAGTAAAAGTGTGTGTGTGTGTGTGTGTGTGTGTGTGTGTGTGTGTGTGTGTGTGATATTTGAAATGGGGCTCTGACCAAAGTACAGGCTTCAAATATCTATTCTCACAGCAGGCTTGCACTGGCCCATTCCAGATCTCTAATACTGTGGTCTCCAAGCCAAGCCGCTCTTGTACTCTGTCAGGACATGCCAGAGTCACCACACTCTTCAGACCAGACATTCTCACAGAGTCCTTGAGATGAAAACTATTTATCATGCTGCCTTAAGCCAGTACTTGGGTTTCAGGCCCAGTTAGTAAACAGAAGAGGCTGGGAGGAGCTAATTTCTCAGAACTTCACAGATTAAACAGCCAGGGGAACGGGCACCTTCCCTGTAGGACAGTAGTTTAAGGACTTGATTCAAGGGAGAATGGAGTTTCAAGGGAGGATGGCTGGGGAAATGAAGGGGTAAGAACAGTTCAGACATACACAGCCAAGGAGACAGTACCTCGAGAGCTGATTCGTCCATGGGCTTTGTGTGGGAATGCCTGAGCCCCTGCTGGTGGCCTGGTTCCCAGGAGTCTTTGGCCGGTCTGTCTCAGAAGGTAAATGGCAAAAGGCAATCTCAGAGGAGAAGTTTCGAATTCTGTTTATAACTGTTGTTCTTTTTCTCTGTGACTTCGGAGGACTGGTGTGTTGTTTTGGAGGGTCAGTTTCTTCATCTGAAAGATGAAGAACCAGCTTCTCCCTTCTTATGGGAGGTTTCATGAGTGTTCAACAAGGTACCTGCGCTCTTGTTTTCAGGATGAGGTGAGGGGGACCCTTTTCTTTGTCTAGTAAATGCCTTGTTCTTCAAGATCCATCTGTAATGCCAGTCTCCAGGTGTCACTTGAAATGCGTCCCTCCTCCTGCCTCCCCCAGGGTCCCCCAGCACTTGCTTATCTCTGCCTCCAGAATCCTTATCTCACCCCATTTCAACTGCTTGTTATGCATTCCTAGTTCTTCCCATGAGCCGCTCTGGTGCTCAGGTCTGTGTCTGCCCCGTCTGGGGCACAGAGAGCTCTTGTTGCACTCCAGGGCCCTGTGGCTGCCCTCCACAGGGCTCCAGTGCAGACATCACCAGCAAGCTGTGCAGGGCCTCTGGCTGTGTGAATGGCTCCTTGCACCTTCTCTTTGGGCCTGAGCCTCTGGGGCTTGCAAACCCATGTGCTCACTCCTGGATGCCTGCGTCTCTCTCCCTTGCCGGGTTAGGTTGAGGAGTGACTTTTGGAGGACAGCACATCCCTGATGAAGTAGCCTCTTCTTCCTTCTAGGACAGTGTGCCCACCCTCCTTGCCCCAGATACCAGCATGGGCACGGCCCCTGTTCTCTCCCAGTGCCTGTCATCCCTGGGCTCTTGGTCCACAGAGCTCTGCTTGGCCCCCACGCCCGCCCACATTACCTCTGGTGCCCACATTCCTGCAACCCTGTGACCACACAGGGGACATTACACATTCCTGGCCTAGTAGCCAATGGTGTCAAAAAGAACAGAATGTCCTAGGACCTGGCCCAGCCCCCTGCTTCACCTGGGCCCCTCCCAGGTCTGGACAGGGCCAGGTAGGTGGGGTGAAGAGTTCAGGGGAAGAGGATGGGGAAGAGTGGGACCAGCAGACATTCCCAGGTTTAGGGGGACCCCTTCTCCTTTTTCTCCAGGATCTGGCTGTGAGGCTGACCTGGGATGACCTTGAGGGACCCCGATCAGAAGGGACCCTAGTTTCTGGAAATCCACTTAAGTTTCTTGCCTGGCAGGGAGTCCCTTTGGGGCGGGCTCCCTCCTTTTCCTCCTCCTCCATCCTCCCTCAGTTCGTGCCCCCCCCTCCCCGTCTCTCTTTCTGCCTTCCCTGTTCTCCTGGTTTCCCCAGCTTTCTCAGTCATCCTCCTTCTGCTTCTGCCTTCCTGACTCTAGTGTGCAGAGTCCTTCCTCCCCTCTCAGGCTCTCTAAGCCTCGCCAGTCTTCTGTCCTTGGTCTCCTTGCCAGCCAGTTCCCCATCAATCCCGCGCCCAAAGTCTTGGGCAGTTCCCGGGTTCACCTGGCCCCAAGAGCCCTCCTCCCTGGAGAGCTCCCAGACCAGACTCCTCCTCCGACCCTCCCCCTGCCATGCTCACCTTTAATTGAGATGCTAATGAGGCTTCTGCGGCTCGCATCCCCGACTGTCCGGCGGGCGGGCGGGCGGGCTCCAGGGCCAGGCGCTGCACCTGTCAGGTGAGAGGGTGGAGAGGCTCCGCTGCCAGATTCAACTGGAAAGGAACCAGTCCCTGCCGAGCCACACCTGGGATCAGGCGGCAGCTCAGGCCTCCTTGCAGTCCTGCCGTTCCTGAGTCAGAGAAGGAGGTAGCAGGGAGCTGGAGGCCAGGGCTAGAGCCCAGAGAAGAGGGCCCAGGAGGAGATACACGGAAGGCAGGGGAGGAAGCTGGGCGGGATCAGAGAGCCTGGCACAGAGAGGGAGACCCAAAGAGAAGCAGGTGGCAGCTGGGCCAAGAGGACGTGAAAACTGGAGCCAGTCACACAGTCTGGGAGGAAAAGGGCGAGAGGGAGAGGCTGCTAAGCCGGGCAGAGTGCCTGCTGTGGAGATCCAGGAGGCGCTAGTGGGCAAGCGCAGGTGGCTGTGAAGCTCGGTGCTGCCTGCCTGGCCCCAACCCCAGAAGGTCAGCTGGCTCCTGGAAAGGTGGAGGAGGGTGGGGGGACAGGGGGAGAGTGGACTCAGCCCGGGATGCGGGCACGGTCAGGAGCGCCTCCGTTCTACCTTCATGCTGCTGCTGCTGCTGGACCGCACCAGAGCCCCGAGCTCAGCCTTGACCTAGACCCTCACCTCCCCAACTCACCTAAGGGCTCCATGAAGGGCAACAAGTTCAAGGAGCAAGACCCTTGTCCTCCTCAGTCCATGCAAGGGCTGGGGAAGGGAGACAAGCGGGAAGAGCAGGGCCTGGGCCCCGAACCCTCAGCGCCCCCGCAACCCCAGCCCACCGAGGAGGAGGAGGCGCTGATCGAGTTCCACCGCTCCTACCGAGAGCTCTTCCAGTTCTTCTGCAACAACACCACCATCCATGGCGCCATCCGTCTGGTGTGCTCCAAGCACAACCGCATGAAGACGGCCTTCTGGGCAGTGCTGTGGCTCAGCACCTTCGGCGTGATGTACTGGCAGTTTGCCTTGCTGTTCGAAGAGTACTTCAGCTACCCTGTCAGCCTCAACATCAACCTCAATTCAGACAAGCTGGTCTTCCCTGCCGTCACTGTCTGCACCCTTAATCCCTACAGGTCAGTCGGTCCCGTGCTGTGGTTCGGGTGCCGTGGTTGTGTGGCGGGGTGTGTGTGTGGGGGCGGGGGCTCAATGGTACAGCATGTGCGTAGCATGCACGAGGCCCAGAGTTCCACCCTCAGCAGCGCGAAGCAAACAAGAGCGGTGCTGGGGCCACAAGGCCAGCGGGCCGAGGTCAAGGTCTTGCAGGTGCTGTGGCGGTGGATAAGGTCTCTGTACAGAAGGGAAGTTTGCCGTGCTGTGGAGTACATAACATGGGCGTGGGATGAAGGTAGGAGGGTGGGATGGGAGTCTCCGTGTCAGATGTCCCCAAAGTCCCAGCCTGCTATGTGCAGGTGAGCTGCGCTCAGCTGTCTTAGCCGCCTGCCCAGGTCTCCGACCTTCAAGGGCTTTGGTGGTCTGAAGTTTTGGGTTTCAGCAGTGTTCTTTGCCAGTTTGGGTCTGGACACTGGACTGGTACCATGGGGAAGAGAGGAGGGCAGGGCTGGGCGCCTGTGCATACCGTCTGTGTTCACTCAGTTAAACAGTGCTAGGCACCGGGCAGAAGAGACTTGTTGATAATCCAGCGACCTTTATTGAGGGCCAGGTGCTTTACTAGGTACTGGGGATGGAAAACTAGAACAGGGCGGGAGACACAGGAGCGTAAACAAATACAGCAGCACACCGTGATTAGTACAATAAAAACCGAGCTGGTCTGCCTTCAAGGAGTGTGAGGTCCCTTCCGAGTGTTTGAATGAGGTGAATGTGTGTGAGCACACACCTCAGGAATGCAGGCAACTATGGAAGGTCGGGATTGGTCACACGCTGCACGCGGGTGGAGGCTCCCTCAGGTAGCCTGTCAGGCCCAAAGATGTGTCATGGACTAACCAGGGTTGGGAAGTCCTGTTCTGGAAAGGCAAAACTGCCCCCATGTAATGAACACAGTAGGAGTCACTTACTAAGCTGAGCAGTCTCCTTGTGTCATTCTCAAAGACGTGGGACGGGGACCAGTGTGATCCTCATTTCACACCCAGGAAACTGAGGCCAAGAGAGGAGTCAACAGTCACCGGGCTGACAGAGTCCTGATTCATCCTGCTAGTTTGGTCCCCAAACTCGGCCTTGTCCTAGACTCAAGAGGTGGGACTTGGAGAAAGTGGAGTTTCCTGTCACTTGTTTACCTTTATTTCCAGGCTGGGGTTGCTCCCTCCCTCCACCTCAGGCCTTCTCAGTTCTTTTTGACCTTAGGCCAAGCAGAGTGGGGGACGGAATAGTCAGGAAGTGCTGTCAGGGGAGGGGCCGGGGGCCCGGAAGGAGGTAGTAGACACTCAATAAATATTTGTGGTCTGGAAGATGAGGAGATATGTATGGGAAGGCTGGGGTGAGTCTGTTATGGTCTGCATATTTTCTAAGGTTCTGCTGGGTGCATGGCCCTGGACAGGCCAGGATGAAACCCCAGGGAGTGGACACACATTGTCCCCAGACTGGAGAACAGCTGTCCACACAGAAAATTTCCGTCTTACAGGAAGGTGACTGCGGGGGGAAGAGGGAGAGAACACACCGAAGGGAGGAGGGACAAGGGAAGGGTTTCCAAACACAGGAGGAAACTGAAGACCTACTATGTACATGGCTCCACGTTGGGTGATTTTTAAACACTGGCTCCTTAATCCTGAAAAGCCTAGAGAGGTAGGCATTTTTGTGCATTTCCTTTGTTGCTTTCTTTTTTTTTTTTTTTAACAGGATCTCAATACAACCCAGATTGGCCTTGAACTCCTGGGATATTAGGGCACTTGCTACCACACCTGTGTTATTTACAGTTTTCAGATGAAGATAATTGATGTTCAACAAGATGAAGTAATTAGATCCAAAGCTGTATAGTTAATAATGAAGAAAAATAACAGTAACAATGCTGTTAATACATGTTTATATCCCAGATAGTTTTCCAGATGAATCTAACTTGGAATGAAATATTATTAAATGGGCCAGGTGTGGTGGCTTATGCCTTTAACCCCAACACTCTGGGGACAGAGGCATCCAGATCTCTGTGAGCTGAAGACCAACCTAGTTGTTCCTGACCAGCCAGAGCTACATAGTGTTGTTAGCTGTTCCCAAAGACCCAGGCTGAATGTATGTACATAATTCTGGCTCAGCTGCCCTGGTCACCTGCCCAGGTGTCTGACTTTAAAGAAAAGAAATATTAGGAAATGATTTAATCCCCACAACAGACTTGGGTAATATGTACCATTATTCCCGCCATTTTATAGATGAGGAAACAGAGTTATAATACTCAGACGGGTAGGCAAGTTGGTAACACCGGGATGCAACAGTCACTCCTATCTAAGAGCTAGTGCCTCTTGGGTTGGCAGTCAAGCGTGACTTCAGAGCTTCCTCTCACGTGACAGCAAGGCTTCCCAAGGTGGGGCAGCTGGTAGGATCCCAGAAGGAAGAGCAGCAGAAAGAAGGGGACTCCCGCCTCGGAGTGCAGGGGAGGAGAGGCAGGGCCACTGAGAGAGACAGAGGCAGCAGACAGGCTGGGGCAGCCTGGTGATGGCTGGCCTGAGTGTGAGTCATGGCTGTTGCCAGAGGGAGGGACTGGATCTGGGATGAGAGGCCCACAGGAGCCTGGAGTAGAGCATAGTCACCCTGGGGTGTCCACCCGCTGAGGGGGATTTAAGCAATGTGCTGGTTTACACTGGAAGGAGAATGATGGTCATCTCTACATCCATGGGCAACAGAACCTACAAGCATATGCAACTTAGGCCTGGGCCTAAGGAAGAATTTACCCAGGCCTGGTGGCGCATGCCAGTAACTCTAGCGCTTGGGAAATAAAGACCGGAGAATGGGAGTTCAAGGTTAGCCCCGGGTACAACTTGAGTTTGAGGCACGATGGGCTATGTGTAATCCTTGGCCAACAACAAAATAAAACCAAGGAAGAGCTTGGAACTTTTGAACAGAGAAGACTACATATGGACTTTCTCTTCTGGAGATGGCAGAGCAAGGGGCTTAGCATCAAGAGTGGTGCAACAGAGGGCCATTTCTCAGAGAACCACAGAAGGAGCTGGGGCTTTAAGCTGGAGAGCCCCCTTGACCCGCACTGTCTCCTCAGTCTGGATGCCAGGCTTTACTCAGTGTCTGGCAGGGAGAGCCCAGACTGAGGGCAGAGCCCCGGGCTGGCCAGTGGTCAGGCCCTTCTCTGTCAGGCACTCTGGCGCTGGGGTTCAGTGGGAGTTTGTGCATAGGCTACGCTGTGTGTGTTTGTGTATGGGTGGGGGCTCGTGCGTCGTGGCGCCTGTTCTCTCCTTTTACCTGGGTTCTGCCCTGGGGAACGAACTCGCATTGCTCAGCTGATGTCAGCAAGCCATCTCACCGGCCCCTGTCGGGCTTCCTGAATAAGAAGGACAGACGAGAAAAACTGAGACTCCAAGAACCTACAAGTAGAAAGAAACTAAAAGCCAGCAGCTGTTGAGAGGAGTAATTATCAGAATCTGGGTCTTTAGGACTCTTCTGGTACTTTCCTTACAACCAAGAGGTCACACGGTGATTGGCAGATGTACTCCCCTGTAACGAATGGCACTTATCTCTAATAACGAATACCCATGGTAACAAACACCAACTGCAGTTGAATAGCACCCACTCTACCAAGAGTGATGCTTAGTCCTTTTCATATATTATTAGCCCACTGGGAAGCAGAAACTCTCTGCCATCTCCATGTGCTATCACACTTCAACGACAAGGCGTACACCTTGTTGTATTGCTGAGGAAAAAGTTTTATAGCATGAGCTGTTATTTTGGGGACTGATTATCCATAAAAGATGTCTGAGGTCACTAGGGGTCAGATTCTACGTGGTCTGGGCCAGCTCATTAAAATGTGGAATTCTACACAGCATCATCGCGACAGCCTGAGAGATTGCAGCGAGGTTTGTTATGTTCAACTCTTCCTAAAGAAATAATGGATCCTGCTTAGAGGCTACAGCAAGGTTCCCCAGTCAGGAGGGAGAGGGACTGTGTGTTGGGCATCTACATGTGACTGTATCGTGATACAAGCTGAGGCTTTAGGGTCTGTGTGTGTGCCCCTTAGCATTGTTCAGAGCTGCTTGGGAGACAAGGGCCTGGGAAAGTGATCAGAGAAAGTCAAGACTCTTCTGGATGAAGCTGAGAGTAGGGCTAAGCACACGGTATACACCGTCAGGGAAGGAGACTGGTTTGTCTCTCGTTCCCAGCTCTGCCAGGTGTTCCAGAGTGCTAGCAGAAAATGCTCTGGAGGTCTCTGGGTGGGTGTTTTGGAGCCCATCAAATATATGGGGCAAACATAGATGGGACAATAGGTGTGTCAGCCTCCAAAGCTCTTAGGATTCCTGTGTTTGCCAGCCTGTCATTTACAGAGAAGTCAGAGGGGAGGCTATCTTCAGGGAAAGGAGATGCTGGTGGCCAATTTCGAACACTCCTCAGCCAGGAGTAGTGGGAAAATCAGGGACTGTGGAGTCTAAGAAGCCTAGGTTCAAAGCTTAGCATCAGCATTTCTGGATGAGTGACCCTAAGGTAGTTGCCTATAGTTGGGCTTTGGTTTCCTGAGTTGTGGAATGAAGACAGTAAGGTCTGACTGAATTGTATTAGGAGAAGGGAGTTCACCCACCTCCCTTCTCCCACAGGTGGGTTCCCTGACAGACAGACAGACAGACACAGACAGACAGACAGACAGACAGAAGGGAGGGAGGGTAATGAGCATGGCCCAGGAAGGGAGTCAAAGCCACATGGGGTGAACCATCTCATGAGCATCTGTGGAAAGCGCCTTGACTCCCGTCTAGGCCCTGGTCTCAGGGCAAGACCTGTGCTTTGCTCTGTGGTCAGCTCAGCACTAGCACCAGTCAGAGGGAGGTCTGAATCCTGTCAGACAAGTGCTTGGGAAGGTGACATGGGAATACTAGGGAGAGGAGTGTCCTTGGGGAGGGAGAAATCCCTGCATGGAACTTGACATGGGTGAGGATCAAGGGTTGGGAGACCAGACTGTTGGGTGTGTGCTCATTGGCACCCAGTCCAGAAGAGGCCAGAGGAAGCTGAATGCCTGGATTGTCACTGAGAAGAATTTGGCTCAGGGATGACATGGGCTCAGTGAGGAAGAGTTTCATGAAGACAGAGAAGTGGTAATATAGTGCTGAGGGAAAGGGTGGTGACTCGTATCATAGAAGTAATTCCAGCAGGGCTGGGGACCTGGACCCTTCCTGTACGACTTTGAGAAAGTGAAGAGACACTTCCCTAGGCGTCAGGCTCTGCTTGTCTTCCTGAGGCCTGGTCACCTTCACTTTGTGTCCCTGAGTACTCCTTCATTTTATCTCTCTGGAACTGTGTGGCAGGCTGACCTAGTGCTGTGCCCATTCTACAAATGGGCAGCCAAGGCTGGGAATCACGAAAGTTGGATTCCTTATCCAACATTTATAGCTGAGGCACCAGAGTGCCCTTCCAGCAGGGGGCAGTGTGTGTGTGTGTGTGTGTGTGTGTGTGTGTGTGTGTGTGTGTGTGTGTGTGTGTGCTCTAGTGGTCTTTCTGGGGTAAAAAAGGGTTGGAGCACATTCTGACTCATGTCCTGGCCATTTTATCTTGGAAAAGGGCTTCACGATGGTATTAGCCCAGATCATTGAATGGTATATGTAATGGATGTGTCTGACTAAGTGCTCATACTAGCTGGCATGACCATTTTTGAAATCATCAATGCTGAATCATGAACACACACACACCTTGGACCTGAGCTCTGTTTTCTCCTGAGAAGGGATGAGGGCCTGGGTACAAAAAGGGGGTGGCCTAGGGTCCAGCTAGCTGGACTTTCAGGATGAAAACAGAGCTCAAAGGCGAGGACTGGGTGGCTTTGAACTGGGTGGTGGTACATTAGGACCATGGATGAGCTTTTAGATAGTCTCGGGCTGCAGGTATGGCTCAGTGGTGGAGGGTGGAGGAATTGCCCAGCGTTTATGAGACCCTGAATTTGGTCCTGGGGACCACAAAAACAAACAAAACAAAGCAAAATGGTATTTGTGTCAGACCCCAGATGCACTAATCCCACATCTTTGGCAGTGGCTCAGTTCACTGGTGCTGGGAGTCTTCTTTTCTTTTCTTTTCTTTTCTTTTCTTTTCTTTCTTTTCTTTTCAAGACAGGGTTTCTCTGTATAGTCCTGGCCGTCCTGAAACTCACTCTGTAGACCAGGCTGGTCTCGAATTCAGAGATCTGTATGCTTTTCCCAAGTGCTGGGATTAAAGGAACGCACCGCCGCACTTGACTCTTGACTTTTTCTTTAAGTGACATTTAATAGTCAAGATAGTTGACATTTCCAGCCAATTCGGCTTTTAAATATATTATATGTGTTGTTTTTTTAGACAAGTTCTCACTAGGTAGCCCTGACTGACTTGGAAATCACTATGTACATCAGGTTGACCTAGAACTCAGAGATCTGCCTGCAGTTATCTCCCCAGTGCTGGGATTAAAGGTGCATGCCACCATGCCTGGCAAAGTAAATATTTAAAATGTATTATTATTACTATATTTTAATAGTAATGATTATTGGTGTTTTGCTTGAATGCATGTCTTTGCACCAAGTTTATGCTGTCCTCCTGGAGGCTAAAAGAGGATGAATTCCCTGGAACTGGAGTTACAGACAGTTGTGAGCTACCATGTGCCTACTGAGAATTGAACCCAGGTCCTCTGGAAGAGCCGCCAGTGCTCTTAGCCTCTTGAGACAGTTCTCCAGCCCACTCTACAGTAAATATCAAACTCAGGCGGTGTAAATCCTCCAGCTTTTTCCTTTCCCACAATTGTTTTGGCCACAGCAGGTTCTTCGCAAACAGGCTTTGTGGCGTGTCCCTGTAAGCTCAGTTGCTCGTGAGACTAAGGCAGACACTCTTGCATTTGCATAGAAACCTTGGAACCACCTGCCACTTCCTTTAAAATGTTTGCTGAATTTGGGCTCTGGATTGCATGGAATCTAAAAATCAAGTTGGGAGACATGGTGACATGTGATGCAGGAGCAGGTGTGAGACAGACTCTTTAGGTTTTGACTCTTGGCCTTTGGCAGGGCCCCAGAGTGCTAGTCAGTGTAAGAAATCTAGCTTATTATTCCATTTTTTAACCAGATTTGCTCTTAAAGTTATCAGTTACTTAAGATGTTATTTTTTAATATTTATTTTTATTTATATGTACATGTGTATGTCTGTGAGTACATGCCTCATGTGTGAGTGTGCTTGAAGGCCAGAAGAGGGAGTCAGATTTCCCTGGAACTGGAGTTACAGGGGTTGTGAGTGCTCAGATGTGGGTGCCCAGAACCGAACTCAGGCTCTAGAAGAGCATCGGATCCGGTGTTCTCAATTGCAGAGCCATCTCTGCAGCCCCAGTGGGATATTATTTTTGTTTTCTGTTTGTTTCCAGTATTTAGAAATACAATTAATATTTGTGTTCTGGTTTTGCATCCTGCAGCCAGGTTGATTTGCCATCTGTGCTTTGTTTCCTATTCTGGAATTCTACCCCAGCTACGCGGATGTCCATTATGCAGATAGTAATAGGGCCAGTATTGAGAATGGGGAACATAGGATTTATACGGAACAGAGTTTGGGTCTCTCCCAAATCCCATTAAAGCGAAGACTCTGGAGAAGGGGAGAGTAGATGCTGCATCTGGTGTTTTTACAGCAGTTCAGAGAGATTCTGAAAGTACATTTGCTGAGAAGCCTCGATTTGAAGACATGGGTGACAGGCACTTCAAAAGGCCACCCTCCCCCAGAGGATGGGCCAGGCCAAGGGAGTGAAGAGCTCCGCCCACCCCTAACCCAGGCAAGCAGGCTGCAATAAATAAAGTCCTGGCCTAGGCTTTCCCGGCAGACACGTCTGTTTACACCCCTACTCCCAGACAGTTCTGGAGCCATCAGAGCGGTCACTGATCCCTTCCGTGTATGGAGAAAACCATGGCCCAGCAGTGGGCCACCCCTAGACTGACCTCCTCCCCATTGGCTTTTTCAGATACACTGAAATTAAAGAGGAGCTGGAAGAGCTGGACCGCATCACGGAACAGACACTCTTTGAACTATACAAATACAACTCCTCCTACACCCTCAAGGCGGGGGCCCGCCGCCGCAGCACCCGCAACCTCAGGCGTGCTCTTCCGCACCCCCTGCAGCGCCTGTACGTACCGCCTCCGCCCTACCCAGCCCGCGCAGCGCGCAGCTCATCTTCCAGTGTACGCGACAATAACCCCCAAGTGGACAGGAAGGACTGGACGATCGGCTTCCAACTGGTAAGCCCCGCCCCTCGGTCCAGGGCCCGCCCACGCGCTCGCCCGTCCAATGGCCCCGCCCACTCCTTCAGACTGAGAGGACTTTCGAGCAAGTAATAAGCGAGTGGATAAACAAACAAACAAATAAATGCAAAAAAAAGAACCATGCAGCCCCCTGTGCCACTTTGCTGGCAGCTTATGTGGCAGGGGATAAGTGGCAGGAAGTAAAATCTGTTGCAGAGAATATACATTTCTAAATTCTAGTCCTTATTGATGGAGCTCAGTTGTGACCCTCCAGTGACAGAACCAGAGAACTGAGTTTCTTCAAGCATGTGACAGAGGACAAGTAATTAGATATTTAGGTAGTAATATGAGATGCGTGTGTGTGTGTGTGTGTGTGTGTGTGTGTGTGTGTGTATGTGTAAGCCAGGTCTTTGCCTTGCTTGGCAAGGGTTTTTTCCCTGAGTTTCAGCCCCAGACGTTACTGGAGTAGACTAAAAGAAGAGATGGGAGAGGATCAGCTAGTAAGGAGAAGGGGAGGCCCCGGAGAGATGGGCCGTACCCCCAGCATACTCTATTGTGGGAATAAATCATTTCATCCCTGAGTTTTCGCACCAGTGAAAGGGGGAGAATTCCTGCTTCTCTTCCTGCCTGGTTGTGTACCGCCTACCACTGTCTCAGTGCTCGCCTGGCCAGCTCTCCTAGGGGCTTCTGTGTGTCGTCCCCCCCGCCCCCCCCGGCCCCCCTCCCACCTATGCCCTGTTCCCTATACCGGCTCATCAGCCCTCAGAACACCTCCCATGCCTGTCAATCTTTGACCCTGGTGGCTCCGATCTCTGTGTGTAGTGCAATGAGAACAAATCAGACTGCTTCTACCAGACGTACTCATCCGGGGTGGATGCGGTGAGGGAGTGGTACCGCTTCCACTACATCAACATCCTGTCCAGACTGCCTGACACCTCACCATCCCTGGAGGAAGAAGCCTTGGGCAACTTCATCTTCACCTGCCGCTTCAACCAGGCCCCCTGCAACCAGGCGTGAGTAGTCGCTGCTGGCTCAGTTGTTGCTCAAGAGTCTCCTTCCTGGGTCCTCCCGAGGGCTCAGGAAATGCTCGTTGGTTCGGTGAGGGAATACCCGAGAGCAGGTCATGGCGAGGCACTAGGCTGAGGCCCAGGTCTGCCCAGCCGGCACCTGCGGGCAGTGGTGTGCTGAGATCCGTGGGCTAATGGCCTCAACCCGGGCTCCCACTGTGTTTCTGTCTCCTTGGCCTGGTGATTCTTTATTCTTCAGACCCTTATCTTTGTAAAACGGAAACAAATCAAAGCACAAAAAAGGAGGCTTTAGCCGGGCGTTGGTGCACACGCCTTTCATCCCAGCACTTGGGAGGCAGAGGCAGGTGGATCTCTGTGAGTTCGAGGCCAGCCTGGTTTACAGGACAGTTAGAACGGTTACACAGAGAAACCCCATCTTGGAAAACCAAAAACTAAAACAGAAAACAAACAAGCAAACAAAAAAGGAGGTTTGTTCAATAAATATTTCTGTGTGGCCACATGTCAGACTCTGTTGTAGGCATGTGGGGTATATTGCAGGGATACACACACACACACTCACACACACTCACACACACTCACACACACACTCACACACACTCACACACACACACACGCTCCTTGTCCTACTTTTTACTCAAGTGATGAAGACAGTGACGCTAACACCTATTTACACACACTCACACACACTCACACACACTCATACACATTAACTCACACACATTAACTCACACACACACACACTCACTCACACACGCTCCTTGCCCTACTTTTTACTCAAGTGATGAAGACAGTGACGCTAACACCTATTTAAGAGTAGCACTCAGGTGGTGAGATGGCAAATGTGAGGGTACTTTATACACCCTGGGGCATGACGGGGGTCAGCCCTCTTGCACCCAAACATGTGAAGTGACATACCCAGAGGCACAGCTGGCCTAAGGATTCTCCACATCCCACTGTCCCTCAGGGATAACTCTGTGTCCTTCCAAAGAGGCCACAGCCACTTATTCAGGCTCCCCGAGAGCCCGTAGAAGGTGGAAGTGAGGGGCTCCCACGCTTGCTTGCCCTGTACCTCTGCCTCTTGGTGTCCAAGGCTCTCTCCTGCCTGCCTGAGGAAGGGTACTGAAGCAGTGACTCTCTTCTCTGCAGGGGGCGGGTCCCTTCCGCCCTGTGTCACTGGAGTGGCCAGGTGTCACCTGCTTCTGCTCCCACCTCGCCCCGTGTACTGACATGCTTCCCATCACACGCTCTCTACCTGCCTGTACTTTTTGTTTGTTTAAAGGTGACAGCTAGCAGCTGGGGAGTGAGGCAGCTAAGCCTGGGTTAGTCGCACCTGTCACCAAGCCTCTCTGTCGCCTGCCACCTGGAGTTTTTGTCCCAGTCTTCTCCCTTTGTCCACTCCAAGCGCCAGCCTCCCTTCCCAGCAGGGAGTCTTGACATCTAGGTTCAGAGCCTCAGCTCAGAGCCTTATCCTTTCTCACCAGGACTGTTGGAGCGACCTGTAAGCTGTCTGACTTTCTGCCTCCAAGTACTCTCTTCATTGTTCACAGGAAGTCTGTTGCTATAACAGAATGCTACAGACTGGGAGATTTATAAAGAAAAGAAGTTAATTTCTTACACCTTACTGGAGGTTGGGAAGTCCAAGAGCCTGGGGTCGGGACCTGATGAGGGCTCCCATGACATATGTTATGACATGACATGACATAACATGACATGACAAGGGGAAGGGAAAGTGAGCATGTGAACGAAAGAGAAAGCAGGAAGGGCGGACCTGACTAAACCATAGCCACTCTTACAGTCGCTAACCCTCTCTGGAACTCCGTGGTGATGCTATGGATCCATTCATGAGGGCTTGCCCCGTGACCCTTGGGTCCACTCATGAAGATTTGTCGCGTCACCGTATCTCTTCCTATTGGATCCCATCTCCAGCAAATTTTCCAACCCAAGAATGGAGAGGCACCATGTGGACACAGCAGGGAGCTTTCCTTTGTTACATTAACTATTATAGCCAGTCCTGTTTAAAATCCTCTGAGGTAGGGGCTGGAGAGATGACTCAGCAGTTAAGAGCACTGTCTGCCTCTGCAGAGGACCAACTCACAACCGTCTATAACTCTAGTTCCATGGGATCTGACACCCTCTTCCAGTCCCCATGGGCACTAGGAATGTTTGTGGTACATAGATACACAAGCAGGCAAGGTACACACACACACATACACACACACGCACATACACACACACATACACACACACACGCACACACACACACACACATACACACACGCGCACACACACACACATACACACACACATACACACACACACACGCACACACACACACACATACACACACACGCACATACACACACTCAATAAAACCCTCTGCAGTCCCTGTGGCCTTCAGAGTCTAACTGAACTTCCGTAGCATGGCTTCTGGACCTTCTCTTCTTCTTCTTCTTCTTCTTCTTCTTCTTCTTCTTCTTCTTCTTCTTCTTCTTCTTCTTCTTCTTCTTCTTCTTCTTCTTCTTCTTCTTCTTCTCTCTCTCTCTCTCTCTCTCTCTCTCTCTCTCTCTCTCTCTCTCTCTCTCTCTCTCTCTCTCTCTCTCTCTCTCTCTCTCTCTTCTTCTGCTTTTTGTTCTGAAGCTTGAACCCAGGGCTTTCGCAACATGCAGGCAAGCATTCTATATCACTGACCTACATCCTCAGACATAATCTTTTCCTTGGCAACATGTAGTGAGAGTCTTCCTTTTCATATGCACAGTTTAGTAGTCTTACAATATTTAGAGTTCTGCAACTACTGCCACTATCTAATTTTAGAACATTTTCCTCCCCCCACCCTCAAGAAACCTGTTTACCCATTAGCAGTTCCCCATTCTGTCTCTTTCAAGCCCTGGGAACCACTAATGCGCTTTCTGTCTCTGTAGACTGCTCTTTTTGGAGAGGTCATACAAGGGATAGGGATGTAATTCAGTGGTAGGTTGGTGCCTCGCATGGAATACATATGGCATCCCTTGTGACTTGTGGCTTCATTCACGTAGCCTATGTTTTCCAGGGTTCTCTATGCTGTAGCTTGTGCCAGAACTCATGCATGAGCAAATAACACCGTGTTGTATAGACCTATCACAGCCTGTGATATGGGACGTGGCTGCTCTTTGGCACTGATGGAAATGCCAAATGCCTGAGTCAGCTTTCATACCGACAAGGTTTTGGTTTCCCTTGGATGCAAGCAGGAGTGGGGTTCAGGGTCCCATCGCTGTTTCACATTTGGAGGCACTGCTGGACTGTGCACAGGCACTCACCTCTTTCTCAGCAATCCTGAGGGATCTAAATTCTCCACATCCTCCACCCGTTACTGTCTATCTTAACAAACAACAACTAAACACCTTTAGTTATTTGTGTATGTGCATGTGTGTGGGAGAAGACAATTTGGGGGTCACCCTTAGGGCGGTGAGCACCTTTGCCAGCCGATCCTGGTAGCCCATTTGTCTTTTTTACTTTAGGCAATTTAACGAATCACTACCACCTTAATGGGAAGCTAATACAGTTCTTAGTAAGTATTAATACTTTAGCTTAGTCCTCAGTGCCCTACCCTAGCTGTTTCTGTGGTCTTCATTTGACAGAGAGGGAGGGAGATTAAGAAATGTTCTTTAAGCCAGGCATGGTGACATACATCCTTAATCCCAGGCAGAGGCAGGCAGATCTCTGAGTTCCAGGACAGCCAGGGCTACACAGAGAAACCCTGTCTCAACAAACGCAAAAAAAGAAAGAAAGTAACTTGTTCGGCCTCCTTTCTAATATTTCTTAGAGTTATTTCAAATGTAGGGAGCTGAACTTTTGGCCTTTTTTTTTTCTGACAAGGTGTCAATCACTTATCCCAGACTGATCTGGAACTCACTGTGTAGCATGTAGCCCCAGCTAGCCCCATGCTGGCAGCAATCCTCTGTATCAGCCTCCCAAGTGCTGGGATTACAGCTATGCCTGGATGGGGCTTTGTTCTTTAAAAAATTTTATTACGAGTGTGCGAATGTGTGTGTGTGTGTGTGTGTGTGTGTGTGTTGGAGAGACTGTCCCTGGGACATATGGCTAGCTCAGGGTCACATAACCAGAGCCACACTTGCCACTGACTGGTCAGTGTCCCCTCTCACTTATCTACTGGTCACAGGCCAGAGCCTCATTTTCCTCCTGCCCGGTTCCACTGCCATCTCCCAGACAGTAGGACGCAGAACACAGAGCCCCTCTCCCCACACAGCTCTTAGAATCTGTGGTTTGCTGTCAGTCTGCATTGCTACTGTGGCAGCATGCCCTGTGTGATTTTGTTGTGAGTACCAAGCCAGCTTTGGACCTATTAATCTGAGATACAAAGGTACACCGAGGCCTCTGGAAAACATGGCTTTGTTTCCTCCTCCCTGTGTTCTGAACATCTTTCCCTCTGTTGCATGCTCACTGAGGGCTCCCCTCCTTCCTCTAATGCTGTTTTCCTCCATCTCTCCACTCTCCTCATTAATGCACTCAATAACTACATATCAGTGAACTTCTTTGTTGCCCGTGTGCCAGGAACCATGCATCTGACCCCAGAATAAGGCAGAGATGAATGGAGGTGTGGTTTCTGTCCTCAAGGATGTCACAATCTGAATGGAGAAGCAAGATTCAGATGTTGAAAAGTCAAGGACCTTTGCAAATGTCTCAATATAACATGAGAGGACACAGGGAACCAGCAGTGAGGTCATAGAAGAAGCTGGGTTCCCAAGGAGATGGTGCGGGTCTGAATCCCAGGCCCATCATCACTGTCTGTGCGGCCTTGGGATCCCCACTCTCTGGGAGGGGAGAAGGGCACACTATGGTGGATTCACACCACGGATGGCTTCACACCAGGGATGACTTCACACCAGGCATGGTGTGTAGCAGGTGGGATCAGCAGATCTGATGGGCCATCCTGGGTGGATCTTAAACACAGAGCTTAGGAGACTTTTGTTTTTCAGGAAAATAAGATCTATAGCACACTCATGTAAATCCCAAGCCAGCCGTTACTGTCTGTGTGGCCTTGTCTTGTATGATGTAGAATGAGGCTGTTGGCTGGAGTGACAGAGGGAACAGGGGCAGATCTCCCAGTGTTGTGGGGACACACAGGAGGTGACAGGAAGCAGACTGGAGGGGCGTGGCCTCTTCCGCCTCACCTCATGCTTCCCTCACCTCCTGCACTCCCCTGTGATCCTGTTGTCCTTGCTCTCTTACCCCCTAAGGAATTACTCTCAGTTCCACCACCCCATGTATGGGAACTGCTACACGTTCAACAGCAAGAACAACTCCAATCTCTGGATGTCTTCCATGCCTGGAGTCAACAATGGTGAGCAACTCCTGTCCTCATTGTGCCCTTCCCGCCCACCTGCCTCACACACCGTGGCCTTATGTTCTAGAGATGCTGGGTCCCACCTTGACATGCCCCTCATTATTCCGGGAGGGGCTGTTTTGTCCTTTCTCACCCCCCGCCCCCATTCTAGGCATGGAAGCAATTCTGTGCTTTAAGCCTGGCCAAGAATCCAGCTCTGTGTTGCCAAGTCCACCTAAGGGGCTTACCGGCTTTGTTCACCAGGAGGTGGAGGACTCTGCAGGGGTGAGAGGGTGGGTCTCCACCCCCAACCCTTCTCCTGCTGCGTCCTCAGGTCTGTCTCTCACGCTGCGCACAGAGCAGAATGACTTCATCCCCCTGCTGTCCACGGTGACAGGGGCCAGGGTGATGGTGCATGGGCAGGACGAGCCAGCCTTCATGGACGATGGTGGCTTCAACTTGCGGCCTGGCGTGGAGACCTCCATCAGCATGAGGAAGGCAAGGGTGCTGTGACGGGGAGTCTGGGGAGAGGCCCCCACTGGAGGGAGGAAGATTGGGAATGGGAGACTGAAGGGAGGCCATGTGAGTAGGTCTTCAAGAGCAGAACTGGATAGAGGCAGCCAAGGTGGGCATGGGAAGCAAGGCTTAGAGAAGACCTCCATCGCTAAGAAGGGTTCAAGACTGCCTTAGGATTTCAGAGGATGCTCCGTCCACGCACAGGCTTGAAAGTAGTACAAGGGGGCTTTGGGGGGTGCTGGATCTGTTTTGGGATGGGGAGGCGGATGGGTTGCTGGCAGGGTGTGAGTTAGCACTTGGGATTAAGGGAAGAGTAAGAAGCCAGGGGAAGCCTGGGTCACTCTCTGTGTCCCCTCACCTGCGATCTCTTCATGTGCATGGGTTCACAGGAAGCCCTGGACAGCCTTGGAGGCAATTATGGTGACTGTACTGAGAATGGCAGTGATGTCCCTGTCAAGAACCTTTACCCTTCCAAGTACACGCAGCAGGTACACAGAGCCTGTCTCAGCCACTAGGGGACCGCCATCCAGGTGGAGGGATGCAGGAGGAACTGGGTTGGGGGTAGTAGGAAGGGCGGTGGGTAGTACAGTGGTTAGGAGGGCTCAGCCTTCCTGCGCTTGGGGCTCACAGACGGTGGGGTTGGGCCAGGCCTGAAGCCTCTCCCTCCCTCCAGGTGTGCATCCACTCCTGCTTCCAGGAGAACATGATCAAGAAGTGTGGCTGTGCCTACATCTTCTACCCTAAGCCCAAGGGTGTGGAGTTCTGTGACTACCGAAAGCAGAGTTCCTGGGGTGAGCATGGGAGCCCCTGCACTGTCACAGCTCATCCCCTCTTCCCTGGCTCCCAGAGTCCTTGTCTGGGATGGCTCCCTATGGTTTGCCTTTCTGCCCCTAGACTCGGCCTCTTTCCTTCCTTCCTGTCTTTGGCTTTTGCTCATTTGTGAAGGAATTGTTCTTTTTAAAACTTACCTGCAGCAGAAGGTAGGTAGTGTGTGCCCAGTGCGCCCTCCTGCAGTGCTCCAGTGGGCCTGCTCATTCGTGGGGTGCTCAGTAGGGCTGGCTAGGGTGGGGGTTAGGGAGAGCACCCAACATCTCACTGGGGCCTAGAAAGAAATTATTACGAGTTCTGTGTTTCTGTCTCATCTCTTTGTGGTTTAGAGACTATGTGCTGGAGCTGGGCGGTGGTGGCGCACACCTTTAATCACAGCACTCGGGAGACAGAGGCAGGCGGATCTCAGTGAGTTCAAGGTCAGCCTGGTCTATAAAGCGAGTTCCAGGTCAGCCAGGGCTGTTAGAAAGAAACCCTGTCTTGAAAAAACAAAACAAAGCAAACAAACAAAAACAAAAGCAAAAAACAAACGAACGAAAGAAAGAAAGAAAGAAAGAAAGAAAGAAAGAAAACTGTGTGTTGTACCTTTTCAGCATTCCAGGGATGTAATTTGTGAGTTAAAACAAACACATTAGCCTTCTTTCCTTCCTTGCCATGGAATCACAGATTCAACTCTGGTCAGATTCAGGGGCTCTACCCACTGAGCAGTCTCTTCCCCTGGGATGTAATTTATAAATCAAATGCACATTCGTTTGTTAGAGAATGCTTTTACTTGGAGCAGGGCACAACCAAACAAGTTGGAGAGCGCTGGCATGTCCTGCTTATCCGGCCATTGTCTTGGACACGCCCTTTCCCTTTCCACTGTGGCAGAGCTCTCCTACAATGCTGGGAGAGAGATGTCCTAACAGGAAACTCTGGGATAGCCGAATCCCTCACGTTCCTGACCAGCATGCTGTCATCTGCACACACTTGTCCTGTATTCCTCTCTTCCTGGGGACCCCTCCAGCCCCTCATCCCAGGGCTTTACACACCCAGCTCTCTAGCAGGGTGACAAACAGGAGCTGGGCCAGGGCCATTGCTGGAGGGGACAAAGCACCAGACACCGTGGACACGAGGAGGGCTCTGTGGCGTTGTTTCGCCTCTGTTCCGGTCACACCTGTCTGTGGAAGCTGCCTCCTTTGTTGCCTGGGACTGCCCCTGACAGGACTTCTCCTCTGCCTCTGCTCTCGTCAGGGTAGTCTCCTGCCCGCTATCTCCTCTTGCCTGGTGCCCTGTCCCTGCCCCCAGCTTCCTGCCCCTTGCTCCTGCCCCTGCCTTCTGCTCCCTGCCTCCTGGCCCTGTCCCCTGGCTCCTGCCCTCTGCCTCTTGCCCCTGCCCCTGCCCCCTGCCTCCTGCCCCTCACCTTGGAGGTATCACAGATGTCAGAACTGGAGGGAACTCAGAGGCCACTGGTCTCACCTTCTTTCTTGGATGGGCAGATGAAAGTGTGGAGGGCAGGGAGGACATGAGTGCCAGCATGAACAGGGCCGTGGGCAGCTGGCTTGGTGGGTCCTTCTCTATTCCCCTTTCTGCTTTCCAACAACTCTTCCTAAACTCTTTGTTTGGTTTTTGTTGAGAAAGGATTTCTGTGTAACTCTGGCTATCTTGTAGCACATGCCTCTGCTTGGGATTAAGTGCTGGGATTAAAGGCATGTTCCACCACAAGCAGCCTAAATTCTTTTTTTATATCTATCTATCTATCTATCTATCTATCTATCTATCTATCTATCTATCTATCTACTGAGATAGGGTCTTGATACATACGTCTGCTGTCTTGGAACTCACTATTTAGACCAGGCTGGCCTCGAACTCACAGAGATCCACCTGCCTCTCCCTTCCAATGATGGGATTAAAAGTGTATTCTACCACTATCTGGCTCAATAATTCTTTTAAGATTTGAAACCCTTGGAGCTCCTCAAAGCCATTGGAGGAACCCCATGCCCCCATTCTTCTCCTCTTGGTTTGCTGAGATGGTCTGCATCTTACAGAGTTTACTCACCTTTGCTGTATGATTTTAGTTAAATATAGCTGTAGTTTTTGATGTTGGGCTTTTATTCTGTTTTCATTATCACTGTCAATTTTAGAATCTTTAAATTACTCGCAGAGAAACTTGTGCCTATGAGTAGTGCCCCAAATCCCCCCCGCAGCTACTGGGAAGCCATTCCCCCCTGTGTTGAACATTTCATGTAGATGCAGTCATGTCCTTTGCCACTGGCTTCTGTCCTTCCATGTATCCATGTTATGACCACGCATCAAGCCTTCTTTTCCTTGTTATGCATCCTGTTACACAGATAGAAAACTTTTGTTTATTGAGGCAGAGTACCATGAGTGCCGGATTTACCCGTGTGTACCACCGTTCCCAGACGGTCGTACATTGTGTTTATCCAGCTGATGGAGGCTTCGCTTGTTTCTAATTTGCGGTTTTGTGACTAAAGCTGCTGTGAACATTTGTATACATGTCCTCAGTGTGGACTTATGATTTCACTTCTCTCCTTGTACACCCAGGAGAATAGCTGGCTCACAGTAGTAGGTTAGCCTCTCTGAGGGACTGCCATAGTTTGGCAGTGGCTGCACCATCTCATAGTCCCAGCAGCGGTAAATGATGGTCCCAGCCGTCCTTGTTGGCAGTTATCTATTTTTTTTGTTTTTTTGTTTTTTTTTAGTTTTCCTAGTGGGTGGATCTCATTGTGGTTTAACCCCTTTATTATGAAATCATTGTTCCCATTTTTCTGACTTTTAATTTCTGTGCCTTTTGAGCACATACGTGTATGGCTGTTCCTTGCCTCCAGCTTAGCTTAATTTCTTAAACAGTTTTGCTGTGGTTGCCACTCCTGAGGCGCCATTGAAATGCTCTTGTAAAGTGTGGAAGGCTCTGTGTGTGGAGGAAGGGGGAGATGCCCTCTGAAACTAGGCTCCTCTCTGCACCCACAGGCTACTGCTACTATAAGCTGCAGGGTGCCTTCTCCTTGGACAGCCTGGGCTGTTTCTCCAAGTGTCGGAAGCCGTGCAGGTAGGGGTCCTTCCCCGGTGTGGGCTGGGCAGCATCTACGTGGCTGGGTAGGATGAAGGCAGCTAACAGGGTCCCGCTCATCACCGAGTGCTTTTACCTGTCTGCAGTGTGACCAACTACAAGCTCTCCGCTGGCTACTCACGATGGCCCTCTGTGAAGTCCCAGGTAGAGTGGGGGGAGGGGATGTATGTGCATGTGAACACAGTTGTACACACATACACGTGTACATAACATAGTGATCCTCTGAGTATTATACACGCTGGTACATATGACTGATACCAGCCATCCCTGTAAACCTGAGGGACACAGAGATGACCTCCTTGCCCCCCCCCCCCCCATTTTTTCTCAGGATTGGATCTTTGAGATGCTGTCCTTGCAGAATAATTACACAATCAACAACAAAAGGTCAGGCCTGCTCCTGAGCTCCTGGACAGAATCCTTTGGGAAAGGGGATGTTGGGAGGAAGGCCTTTAGAGTTAACCCTCAACATTTCTTCCCACTCTCTCACGCTCCCCAAAGAAATGGAGTTGCGAAACTCAACATCTTCTTCAAGGAGCTGAACTATAAAACTAATTCGGAGTCTCCCTCTGTCACGGTAGGGCCTCCCTTAGTCAGGGAGCCTGTGAGGGAGGATAAGGGTCACCTTTGTGGGACCAGAAGGGCTTGTGTCCCAGGGGTAGAAGATAAGGAGAAGGAAGTGGGGTCCAGGATAACGTGGCCGCGTTGGAGGAGGGAGCTGGGGTTGAAGTCTGGGGGTGGGAGGAATGCATGGATATCACAACTGGGAGAAGGCCTTTGAGATGCACCCCAGTTTCTGCTGGTCCCATGACCGGGTTTCTGTGCGGCGCGATAAGCAGGAGCTGCCCCTGCGTGGTGGCAAGGCCCAGGTGGGCCCCGGGTAAGAAGGGAGCTGACTTGGTAAGAGGGGGTGTGTCCTTCTTTCTCTGGGCAGATGGTCGAGCTCCTGTCCAACCTGGGCAGCCAGTGGAGCCTGTGGTTCGGTTCGTCTGTGCTGTCTGTGGTGGAAATGGCAGAGCTCATCTTCGACCTCCTGGTCATCACGGTCCTCATGCTGTTGCACAGGTTCCGAAGCCGGTACTGGTCTCCAGGACGAGGGGCCAGGGGTGCGAGGGAAGTGGCCTCTACTCCGGCTTCCTCCTTCCCCTCTCGCTTCTGTCCCCACCCTGCATCCCCAGTGCCTTCTTTGCCCCAGCAGGAAACAGCCCCTTCCCTGGCCCTGGCAGCCCCTCCGCCTGCCTATGCTACCCTGGGCCCCTGTGCCCATCCGCTGGACCCCGCAGTGCCTGGCCCTTCTGCCTGTGCTCTGGGGGGGCACTGAGACAGGAGAGTTGTCCTCTCACCCAGGCAGTAAACTGAAGGATATCTCATCTTCACTGGCACCTTCAACAGCTGCCCAGCTGCCTGTGGTGTGCCTGAGGGAGTAGACTAAGTAAGGGGCCAGGAAGTTATCCCGGGAACAGTGGCTAATGAGCTGTTCTGAGCTGCCCGACTCCTGCTTCTGAACACTGCTTTCCGCACATGCTCAGACAAGTCTCCCTTTCCCTTGGATCAGCCAAGCCAGACTTGGAACTTTGACAAGGAGCTTTCCTGGGAAACGACCAACGAACAAATATAAACAAGGCGCAGAGAAGCGGCCACAGGTTTCCTACCCCATGACCAGAGATTGGCCTGGCCACACTGCCTTCAGAGACACAGATGTCTGCCCCTCTTCTTGAACTTGGGTGGGGAACCCCACCCAAAAGCCCCCTTTATTAGTTTTCTGGCAATTCCCCTTTCCTGACTCCCCAGGGTGGGGCTAGATAGGATGGGTACAGTAAAGGTTTGGCCATTCTCCTTCATTTCCAAGACTCCTCTCTTTGATACACTGCACCCCAGTGCCTCTTCGCTGTCTCCTTCATGCTTGTCCTCAGCCTAGAAGCTTCCTCTACCATCTCCTAGAGAGCGGCTATGCACGCTTGGAGCTCTGCTCAAGGGGACCATTACTTTTGTGAGCTCTCTTACCATATCCGTCTCTCCAGAGCTATCCCCTCCCCTCCTTCCATGGGGCCCTCTATTATATGTTCAATTCCTCTGCAGCTGCCTCCCTGAGCACACTGTGAACTCCTTGTGGTCAGGGCCGAGGCTTTCTGATTTTTGTGTCCTTCATGTCTAGCCCAGTATCCCACTTGGAGCAGGTAGGCAGGTTGCCAATAAATGCTTGTTATGTAAACCAGTGTCTGCAGAGCCGATGGGGCCCCATGAAACGGGTAAGGATGCAAGTCCCAGAGGCATTACCCACGTTTGTGGGAGGCCCTGGAGTGGAGGGAGTGCACAGGCAGCCATGCCGAACTTGTCACCGTTACACGTCATCAAGAACACTCTTCTTCAGACTCCGCCCAGCTGTGATGTAACCTCTGCCACCCTCCTCCCCATCACCGCCCTGGTGGAGAAGGAGGGTGAGACCAGTTCTTCCAGAATTTCAGGGCCCTGGGTAGTCTCATTCACAGGGAAAGGGCACAGGAAACCCTCCTGACTTCAATAAAGGAGAAACTGGGGAGTGTCTGAGTGGAACCCCCTTTTCTCATCTGTACTTTGCCCACTCCAATCATCAGACCTGGGAACCATGAGGACCCTGTCTTGTGGTGTTGTGGGAATAAGACTTGGGCATTTTCCATTTTCATCACAATTTCTGTCCTTAGGAGCCAGAGGAGAAAGGGGTCTTGCTTTTTTTTTTTTTTTTTACTCCTCCAGGAACCCACTCTATAGACCAGGTTGACCTTGAACTCACAGCCTGCCTCACGAGTGCTAGGATCAAAGGCGTGAGAGCAAAGGGGATCTTGTAGAAAGAGGGAAGGAACAGGAACTCCAGTCACGCATGCAGCATGAAGACTTTGACTTCCCTTTCCTAGACTCATGTCAATGGCAGGAAATGGTGCTGTTTCAACATTGTCCCTGTCTGAGCCTCAGGTGTGACTGCTCTGGCCCTCCCTCCCCCTCTGTTTGGCCCTAGACTTACCCTGCCCATCCCTGCCTGGATCTATCAGGAAGGCTGCAGTTCTGTGTGGTGTGTACCGCCCCCTCCGCCCCAGCTCTAAGTCCCTCGTATTTATCAGCATCGCCATCCTGAGCATCCTGAGGTCTGTCCTTCTTGTCTGAAGACCACTCCTGGGATCAGAGTCTTAGAGGAAAAAGGGTTCACCTCTCTTCATTTTCCTTATCAGCCATAGCAGGGCTTACCCTGGATTGTTATTCTCACGGAGCTGCCTGGAACCAGGCCCTCCTCAATGATTCACCTGGCCTCTCTGTAAGGAGGGTATTGAACGGCAGGACTGCAGCCAGGGCCCACGTCACCGGGACTTGGATCCCAGTGCCCTTTGGAATCAGCGTACACATGCATGTGTGAGGCGTGCGTGCGTGTATCATGGGGGACGGGGAGGTGGTGTCTGAGCCTCTTTCGTCCATCCTTTGTCTTCCCCATCCACCTGCTCTAGCCCCTGTTCTGCCTGCTATCATGTCTTCCTCCTTCCTTCCTCCCTCCCTCCCTCCCTCCCTCCCTCCTTCCTTCCTTCCTTCCCTCCTTCCTCCCTCCCTCCCTCCCTCCTTCCTTCCTTCCTCCCTCCCTCCCTCCCTCCCTCCTTCCTTCCTTTTTTCTTGAAAAGTTAGGGCGGTTTTCTTTTTCTTTTTAATTCATGTATATGAGTGTTTTGCCTAAATATGAATGTGTACCGCAAGCATGCCTGGGGCCCACAGAGATCAGAAGAGGACTCCAGATCCCCTGGAACTGGAGTTATGAATGGTTGTGAGCCCCTTTGTGGGTTCTGGGAGCCAAACCTGGGTCCTCGATAAGAGCAACAATTTCTCCTAACCACTGAGCCATCTCTTCAGCTCCTTTTCTGTTATTTTTTTTTTTTAATTCAAGGTTTGCTGGTTTGGGCCAGGCGGTGGTGGCACATACCTTTAGATCCCAGAATTTGGAGGCAGACATAGACAGATCTCATGAGTTCCAGGCCAGCCTGGTCTACGGAATGAGTTCCAGAAAAGCTGGAGCTGTTACCCAGAGAAAACATACACAAAAAAAATTTGCTGTTTTTATTTTATGTTTATAACTGTATTGCCTGTATATATTCTGTGTACCCCATGCATAACTGAGGCCAGGAGAGGGTGTCTGTTCCCTCAGAACTGGAGTCATTGACAGTTATAAGCTGCTGTGTGGGTGCTGGGAACCCAACCCTGAACCTCAGCAAGAACAGCAAGTGCTTTTACCCGCTGTCTCTCCAGTCCCAACCTTTTCTATTCCTGTGGGCATATATTTCTCTCTCTCTCTCTCTCTCTCTCTCTCTCTCTCTCTCTCTGAGTCAGGGTTGCTCTGTGTAACAGTGTTGGCTGTCCTAGAACTTGCTTTATAGACCAGGCTGACGTAGAATTCACAGAGATCTGCCTGTCTCTGCCTCCCGAGTCCTGGGATTATAGGCTTGCAACACCACGCCTGGCTTTGTGGTCATATTCTTGGCTTGTCACACCCTCAGGCTCACCTTTCTTACCCTTTTCTGTGGAACTGAGCTGTATGGAGTACTTTAGTGCTGCATTGTCTCAAAGCTTCAAACATACTGAGAAAAAGCAGCTTGTATCCTAAGCCGTGGAGGAAATTCCCCTTTGTGCCGGGCTCTGAGTAATAATGGCTTTGCAGTTTGCACAGACAATTAAAAATTCCTTGTAATGTTAAACATGGGACCTTGAAGTTGTTATTCATTATAAATACAAATTGTTGACATTGTATGATTCTTAGCAGGTGGTAAACACTTGCTAATATTCCATATGAATCTAACCACCAAACCAGCTCTGGGAGATGTGTCAGTGTGTTTCTTGTCTGTAGTGGGGTGTGTGCATGTGTGTGTGGTGTGGTGTGTGTGTGGTGTGGTGTGTGTGTGTGTGTATGTGTGTGTGTTTGTGTGTATGTGGTGTGTGTGTTTGTGTGTATATGTGTGTGTGTTTGTGTGTATGTGGTGTGTGTGTGTGTGTGTGTGTGTGCATGCCCATGTTCATTGAGGGTAGATTTAGGGCCTTGCTTATGCTGGACAAGCACTCTACCACTGAATTATACCTGGAGGCACCCTGACCCCCTCCCCATTTATTTCTCCTGGCTTGTTCACATTGAAAACTAACTAGTCTGATGGAGGAGGAGGGCCTCCAGCAGTGGGAACACCTCCAGCTGTTCTTCTGGGGCAGAGGAGAGGAGAGGAAACATCAAAGTGGCCATGCTGGAGGCTGGGTGTCAGCAGCGGCTCACAGGGAGAAGGGCCAGGAGCTCTGGCTTCGAGTCCCCAAGTCCTAGGACCCATTCCCGAATTCTCCTTGCTCGTCTCATCATCTCAGCTGCTGAAGGGCCTCAGGCTGAACCGGCATCCTAAAGGTCACTAAATCTCAAGGGCACTCACGTCCAGTGCTGTAGGGTCCACCTGGGAGAAGACCTGTACGGATGGGGATGGCAGTCAGAAGGTGATGTCTCACTCAAAGAGGGAGAGGACAGTGCCACCTAGTCATGGGACCCAGGGAGCCAGGTCCTCTGTGTCCTGCCTCCCAGCATAGAGTGTCTTGTGGCTTTTCCTTACTCCTAAAGCTGCAGGATATGGTACAGTCTCCCTGGGGTCAGTTCTCATGGGTGCATTGGAATATCTAGAGCTGGGTGTGGCGGTCACATCTGTAATCTTAGCCTGTAGGAGGCAAGAAGATCAGAAGTACAAGACCAGCCTCACTACATAGTGAGTCTGAGGCCAGCCTGGGCTAAATGAAACCTTATTTCAACCAACACAAATAGCAGGCTTGGGAAAAGGGCCCTGGGAACCCTTCACAACCGGAAGCATGTTCACAGAGATGGTCCACTGAATCTTCACGGGGCCTCTTTCCCTGTGAGGGTAGTGCGGGTATTTTCACCATCATTTAATAACTGGAGAGCCCACCTAGGCTTAGGGCTCTCTCTCTCTCTCTCTCTCTCTCTCTCTCTCTCTCTCTCTCTCACACACACACACACACACACACACACACACACACACACACACACACACACACACACACACACACACACTGTTGGTTGCTGAGCCATGGTGGGCAACTGGGGAACCTGTCTGGAAGAGACAGATGAAAGTCAGTGGGAGGGGCTGATGGTCAGGCCCCAGGCAGGGTAGAAAACTACATTTGGTTTTCTTCCCGGTTTGGGCTGGATGGGTTAGTGTCCAAAAAAGTGAGACTAGAGGGAACCCTGGAGTGAAGGGAGGGCCGCTGAGGGACACAGAGGGCTTGCCAAGCCCCAGATACTGTCCTCCCTCAGTAACTCCTGCCTGCCATCCCATGAGATAGGCTGTCTTCATTCTGTGAACTTGAGAACAACCTTGGAGGGGTGAGTCCACGGGTCTAAGCTCCCCGACCTAAAAAGAAGAGGAGTCAACAGGAATTCGGCGAATTCGACTCTCAATCTCTAGGTGTTCCCGCCTGGTGTTACGTGGGTTTGCACCGCCCAGCTGTGGGAGCCAGGCTGCAAAGCGTTAAAAGAACCTCGGCCCTCGGCTCTCTCCCCCTGGTTCCCTCCTCCCTCCTCCCTCGCCTCTCCCCAGGCTCTTCCGGTCCCGCGCTTGCAACACCACCCCCGCCACTCTCCCTTCCCCTCCTACCTCTCTCCTCACAACTTTAATTTTCTCCGAGTTTTCCCGAACTCTGGCTCCTGGTCGGGTCTATTGGGTTCGAAGTCCTGGAGGACCGTACCCTGATCTCTATCTACCCCCGACTTTCAGCTGCTCTAAACCGAGGCCCGGGCTGCCACTGCCCGGGCCACCTGGTTCGATCGGCTTACTTCATTCACCAGCGTTGCCAATTGCTGCTCTGTCCCCAGCCCCAATGGGGGAGTGAGAGGCCACTGCCGGCCGGACATGGGTCTCCCCACCGTGCCTGGCCTGCTGCTGTCACTGGTGAGCTGGGAGAAGGAAGGGAAGGGTGGGCTGCTGGCCAGGCGCGGCCTGGCAGGAGTGGCATGTACTGGGGGGAAGGGGGCTTCTCTGCTTCAGTTTGCGCTAGGCTTGCTGTGCCTCACCTGGGGCTCCTCTGAGAGGCCGAAGGGAGAGATCTGAGAGGGAGAAAGTTACCACAAGCCAAGCCCCCAAGCGCAGGGCCTGACAGCCAAGGTGGCTGGCTGGTCCTGGAGTCTGTTGGGGTTTAGGGAGGCCAGCTGCCGACCAGTGGAATAAGGCGGAGCAGCCAGCCCTGTTTCTCTGGCAGAAGTTGAACAACGCGGGTTAGGATGTTAGAAGACTGAGTCGAAGAGGGGGATCAGTTGGCGGGGCAGGTTTGGGATACCATGCTTGGGAGTGAACCAGGAAACTGGATAAAGCTGGGCAGCCGGGCACAGCCTTCTTCCCTGAGACAGCCTTTGCCCTTCTGGCCCCAGGTCTGCTTCCAGACAAGAGGTCTCCATTGGCCTAGCCCTCACTAGGTAGCTAACACATCCTTTACCCAGGCAGTGTATCCGCCAGCCCCCTCCCCGCAGACCTAAAAGACAGTCTCTCACTTTCTAATTCCACAGTTCGGATTGGGGAAGTTGGTGGCAGTTTGTTTTCGTCACTGGAAAAATGTCCTTTCCTCTGGCTTTGGCTTCGTTTTCACGTTTCCTTGGTTTCCCCTCTATGTGCTTATAACCATTCTCTGAAGACCTCAGAGCCCGGGCTCCCTGGCTGTCTGGCGAACTGTACCACCTGGACAGTGTCTCTGAGCGTTGCCTCCTTCTCCATGCCTGTCCTCCCTGTCCTTCTTTCCCGTGGGTCTCCAGAGCCGCCTCTTGGAGCTCCACATTCGCTCCGCTCTTCTTCTTGTTCCAGTCTAAACCAGTGTTTCCAGAACCTGGACCCCCCAGTCTGTGTGGTCTCACATCTTGTCTCCGGGTCTCAGCTCACCACCCTTGTCAAGACTGCCCCTTCTGGGTCTGCATCCATCGTCCAGCTGTCCATCCTCTTAGTCCTGTTCCCTTAAGGCTGCGTCAGCTGGACCTAGGGCTCAGTATAGCACCCTGACCTGCATGAACTCGGACATGTGATGTGACTCCCCATGCCTTTGTTTCTCTGTTTCCAAAATGGCCATAAGGATCACTATCTCAAAGTTGTTATTTTAAGATTCAATAGGTGGATGCATATTAAGTATTTGCTCAATTTACTAATCTCCTACTCTGTGCTAGGCCCTATTTCAGGAGCTAGGATTGGAGGTGAATGAAGCCCTGAGGTCAAGTTGATAGTGCCGTAGGGGAAGGCTGTGTGACAAATAGAAGAGACTCAGTGAATATTAAGTGCCTATTTTCTCATCGCTAACAGCATTAATAGTCTTTACTCAATGGCTGCCAGCATTTGACGTAGTAAAAATAGCCTAGATAGGTAGAGGAGAGATCCTGATCCAGTTGTGGAGGCCCAGGTAGCGATGGGGCACTATGAACAGAATCAGAGCCTAAAGACAAGGAGTAACAGATGGCAGGTAAGGTCTACCTAGGGCTGTCCACTGCCTTGTCAGAGCACAGTGCCTCTGAGGTGCCTGAGTGATAAGGAGGCGCGGGGTGGGGGTGGGGTCAGGAGGGAGCAGCGCATATGGCAGGGGTGTGACAAGGTCAACAAGATTTTGTTAAGTCTCAAAGCCTTTAAATATAGGAGTCAAAGTGACTATAGAACAGTCTGGAGGAAAAGACATGCCAAGGCCTTGTGCTGTAGTCTCCTGGAGGAAGAGCTGGGAGGGGGCTCGGCCACAGGCCAACTGTCTTTTCTTGCTTAACGCCTTTGCCTGTCTGCTGGCTTGCCTGCGCAGATTTTTGGCTCACTGAGAGCTCTTGAGAGCATGAACTATGTCCCACCCATCTTGGCATCTCCAGCACCCACGGGGATCCTGGAATGGAGACCTTGACGTTTGACTAATGGTGGAATGGATTAGGAAATAAGTTTTGGTCAGATGGGACCAGGGAGGGAATGCTGCAGAGAGAAGAGCATCTGGATGCCAGAAAGGAGGGAGAGCGGAGGAGTTGGGAGGGTTGGGGGGGTGGAGCCGAACACCTCAGCTGGGGGTGGATGACCAAGGTGAGGAATGTCACACGGTAAGAATGGGCACTGGGAGTGTGTGAAAAAGAACCCTGAGCCAGCCATGAAGGAGCCAGCCTTGAAGCCCAATGCCCGTCATTCTAGAATGGGAGATGGAGGCGGGAGATCAGTTCAAGGCCAGTTTTGCTTATGTAGAGAGCTTGAGGCCATAGAGAGAAGTGTCAACAGGGACATGTGCTCGAGCCCAGCCTGGGCTACATGAGACCATGCTGTGAAAAATAACCAAAAAGGAAAAAAAGAGAGAAGTGTACAGTGTACATAAGGACCCAATGGGGGCCGCTTCCTCCCTCCCTCGCTCCCTCCCTCCCTTCATCCCTCCCTCTCTCCCTCCCTCCTTCTGCTATTCTTCATACATCCATTCTGTCCAGACTGTGTTCCAAATACCAGTGAGTTATCGCTGACATGTGTGCCCAGGATTTATTCATGGAAATCATATTTGCAGCCAGACCCTGCAGGTGAGGGGAAGATTCACTCCCCAGTGGTACAAGTTGGAGCTTGAATGCAGATAAGAAAATACGTAGGTAGCTTCAGCCCCAGCAGAGGTTTGAGGTAGATTCATCACTGAGCCCGAAGGTTGATGCCAGCCTGGACAACATAGTGAGACCCTGAGACCCCGCTGTGGAGAAGGCAGCTGTAATAACCAATTGTCCGTGTGTGGGGCACCCGGAGGACACAGAGGGGTGGGGACATTGGGGGGGAAGGGCCCTGGCAGATGACTACTTTGAGGGCTTTGGCAGTTTTCAGCCATGATGCCCAGAAGCTGGTGGTGTGGCGTGTGTCTAGGTGAGTTCTGTTGGGGGCAGGCTACGTAGGTCAGTGACTGGCCACGTGGAAGCGTGGTTGGAGTGACTGGAGCAGCGGTTCTCAGCCTTGCTTCTGGCTGATTCCAGCTGCACTGGCTTGCTAGCCAGACTCAGAGAGGAGGAGCGCATGGCACAAGTGTCAGTAGGGACCTGTGCACGAGTGCGTGTGTGTGCACTGTTTCGAAAACATCTCTCGGAGACCAGTGTGTCTCTGGGGCAGGAGGATCCTGCTTCCCTACATCCTTGATCTGGGATGGAGGCACCTCAGTCCGTCCCTCTAGTTCTGCAGGCCGGGAGCTGGGGGATGTGGCCAAGACATTCTCTGATCTCTTAACTCATAGGGTTTGTGGTCTGTTTGGGGAGATCATATCTCCTCATTTGAAATGACTAGTTTCTGATAAGACCCAGAATAGATATGGGCAGTTCAAGTTATTCAACGCGAACAGGTGCGGATGGATATCCAAAGAGCTTGGGTGGGGAAACATGAGTCATTAGTGGGGGGCTTCGTGGGTGGTGGAAGGTAGGATTGTGACAGAGCTCTCAGAGGCCACACCAATGAATTCTTCACCCCACAGGCCTTGACATTAAATGGAACAAGCACATTTTAACGTAATGAGCGCATTAATGCGGGGGACGGGTCTAGCAAGCGGGTCCCTGAAAGGCGGCTGGGTCATAGTTTGACCACAGGGTCCATCTCGGCTTCTGTGCCCTAGTCGGCAACCCCAGCACAGGAAGTCACACCTTAAGGCCTCCCAGGCGGAAGTTGAGGGGTAGTTAGATTGTACCACTCTCTTAAGCATCTCTCTACAGGCACCCCCAGCTTCCTGCCCCTCCTCTGCTCCAGGCAAAGGCATTTGGGTTTGGGTCAGGACTTTGGACTTGGCCCCCCATTCTGCGGTTTGCCTCACAATGCATCTGCTAATAGGACTTCTGGGTGCTGACGCATGGTGCCTATTGAGAGAGCCCGAGGGTCCTGGAGCATGTGGGATGTGGTAATGGTCCTGTGTCCCCTCATCTCTCTTGTTTATTTGTTTTTGTTCTTCCAGAGGGTTTCTCTGTGCAGCCCTGGCTGTCCTGGAACTCTGTAGCTCTGTAGGCCACACTGGTCTCTGAGTGCTGGGATTAAGGCCCGACTCTCTCCATCTCTTCTAGCCTTAAGAGGGCTGCGTGTTGGCCAGGCATTGGTGGCGCACGCCTTTAATCCCAGTACTCGGGAGGCAGAGGCAGGCGGATCTCTGTGAGTTCGAGGCCAGCCTGGTCTACAAGAGCTAGTGCCAGGACAGCCTCCAAAGCCACAGAGAAACCCTGTCTCGAAAAACCAAAAAAAAAAAAAAAAAAAAAAAAAAGAGGGCTGCGTGTTTTCCTCTGTAGCTACTAGGTTATGAAGCCTTAGAGCTGGCCCTGTTCCTTAAGGATTGTCTCGGGAGCCCTCACACCAACTGGCCAGAAGCAGGCAGGCTGTGGGAATGTGGTGGATGAGGGTAGGAGGGCAGCCTGGTTTTGTTTCTTCCTGGCACTGGGGATCGGCAGGGCCTGGCGGGAAAGCTCAGAGAGCCAGGGACGGGGTTTATCTACTTTAGAGTTGTTTAACTTTGAGGAGGAATCAGGGCAGGTCCTAATCTAAAGGAAGGATGTGGGGTGGGTGGGGGGTCCTCTGGGAGGAGCCTAGTGACCTGATGGGGGAAGCCAGGGGTCAAGAAGACTTCCCTTTGGGATGAAATGGAAGAAGGAGGCATTTCCCCGAAATCTGTGGGCCCAGTGGGACAGGGATCCGTTCCTGGCTCTTTTTTTTTTTTTTTTTTTTTTTTTTTGGTTTTACGAGACAGGGTTTCTCTGTATTGTTTTGGAGGCTGTTGGTCCAGCCCGGCCTCGAACTCACAGAGATCCGCCTGTCTCTGCCTCCCCAGTGCTGGGATTAAAGGCGTGTGCCACCACCGCCTGGCTCCTGGCTCTTTTTAAGGGGAAAAGTATAAAGGGCCCTGAGTGGGGTGGGAAAGAGTCCTGAGTGGGTGCTCACCATGAGAGAGGAGATGGGGCTCTACTTACTGGCTGGCCTTTTCTTTCTGCTGACTCACAGCCCTTGAAGAGCTGAGGAAGCTGCAGTTCCCTGTCCACTGTCCTAGGTCCCCTCCCTCCCTGGCCTGAGTCACCGGGGCGGAGCTGATGGGAAAAGATTTTCCTTTCCCGGATTTCACTTAACCCCCAGAGTTCTGGAAAAGGAGGGACACGTGACCAGAGAAACCTGGCTCCTCTGGAGGCTCACCGGTCACTGGCAGAGACACTCCCTCCAAGGTTGTTCTTGGCCTGGAGCCCGCCTCTACCTCTTCCTGAGGCTGCCTTGGCTTGTTGACTTTGCTTCAAGTTCTCTGATGGGCTTGGAAGTGCCATTGACCTTAGGTGCTCCAAACATTTCTTCTTCGGGGAAAGGAACCACACTCTCACGATTGGGAAGTTCTTATCATAACTAACCCTTCCTGTCACTCTGGAAGCCACTGCACTCTCTTTGTGTGTGTGTGTGTGTGTGTGTGTGTGTGTGTGTGTGTGTGTGTGTGTGTATGGGGGGGTGCACCCTGCCTGAGAGATTGCCGGTGTGCAGTGTGCTTTTGTATGTGGCTTCTCAGGTCAATCTCTGGCTGAGGCCCAGGCTTCCTGACCCATGCAGCAGCAGCTGCTGCAGTAGCACTTGGAGTAACAGCAGCTGGCAGGTTGCACCTCCCTCCAAAGGAGCTTTGGAGGCTGCACCGCTTTGTGAGTCTGGACAGCCTTGGTGGTGGCTAGCTCTTCTCTCCTGAATGTGATCTGACTGGTCTGTTGCTCCTGCATCTGTGACTTGCCTTGATGACATCCTCTACCTCTGCACGAAGTGGCTCGCAGCAGGGGGTGGGGTGGGACCCGAAAGAAGGTTGAGGGAAACCCGAAGCTGGAGGAGATCAAAGAGCAAGGTCTAAATTGACTCTGAGATGACTTCTGGCTTTGCTTTCTCCACACTGTATTTACATACAGGAAAGCCACTTAGCTGCTACGAGCTTTGCCAAGGTTACTAAACCAGCCTTCTAGAATGCTCTGCTTGGCCACGGGCTTTGGGACTCCTGCATAACCTCAGCTCCTGATTTGCTGGTCTTCATTTTTTTGTGGGTTTTTGAGACAGGGTTTCTCTGTGGCTTTGGAGGCTGTCCTGGAACTAGCTCTTGTAGAGCAGGCTGGTCTTGAACTTACAGAGATCCGCCAGGCTCTGCCTCCCGAGTGCTGGGATTAAAGGCATGCGCCACCACCGCCTGGCTTTGCTGGTCTTCTTGAGTCAGATTACCAACCTCTAGCCGACTCTAGTACATGACCCACTTGTCTTTGCTCATGCCTAAACCTTCTAGCCTGCCTTCCCTCTCCATTTGTCCTTGCCAACCTGAGCGGTAGAGTTACTTAGCTGTGGAAGGCATGGACTATGAGGGCAGGTTGCTGAGCAATACTTGTATAGCTAGAAATGTATAAATTCTTGACTGACTGTGTGGCTCAGGGCATGTGTGAGGTTCCCAGCCCCCACCCCCACCACGAATGCCCCCACTCACGTACACATGATCATGACAGAGCTCTTCCCTTTGTTTCTGTCCACTCCTGGGAATGGTGCTTGCAAGAACACCATCCACCTGGGTCCCCGTCTGATTTTCTCTATGTGAGCACACTGGTGTGAGTTCATATCCCGATGCGTCCGTGCGCACGGAGGTCAGAGGTCAACCTCGTTTTCCTCAGATACCATTCACTTTGTGTTTTGAGACAGGATCTCTCACCGGGACTGGGCTGGCTTGTGTCTCTCAGCCCATGCTACCATGCCTGGCTTTATGTGGGCGATGGGAATTGATCTCAGCTCCTCGTGTTTGCACAACAGGCACTTTCTTGAACCATCTCCAAGGCAGCCCTCCCTAAAGCTTGATTCCCCCCACCCCCCAAGCACTTTTTATTAGTGTAGTGAAATCCAGAAAGGTTTGCAGATCCCGATGGCTCACCTCTGAAGTGTCCACAAACCGGCACACTGAAACCCGCACCCGGATATAGAAATGGCAAATGAACTTCAGGGTTGTCTGTTGGAAGACAGACAGGCAGGCTATCACTGAAACAGACTGCTAGTTCTGGGTAGACATTCCCTGGTAGGGCAGGGGTGGTCTCTGAGGCTCTGTGTGAGATCCCCGGGTTCCACCTCTAGCCCCTCGAATAATACCAGCTGCTAAACATTCCTCCACCAGCTTTCCTATGATGAGCTTCAGGGAACTGATCAGAATAGGATGCGGTGGTGGGGAGGGCTGACACCTGATTGCCCAGGGTTATGGAAACATGCTAGCGTACAGAGCAACCAGAGACGAAGACAATGCTAGTCCGCACAGTGGGCACGGTTTAAGGGAGAATGTTCCTCGGGAGGGACAGGAGCTATGGGGGAGGGGCGTCAATTTGCTGCCTCTATGGCCCCACCCTGATGGTGTTTCCTCCTTCTGATTCTTCTCCCAGGTGCTCCCGGCTCTGCTGGTAGGGATATACCCCTCAGGGGTCACTGGACTGGTCCCTTCCCTTGGGGAGCAGGAGAAGAGTTTGTGTCCACAGGGAAAGTACGTCCACCCTCTGAATAATTCCATCTGTTGTACCAAGTGCCACAAAGGTAGGAGAGGGGAGCCGTCTTCTTGAGTCTTCCTTTGCTCGGTTCTGGTGTTGCAGAACCGTGGTTGCTGGGAGCCCCTTGCTTGGCTGCCTGCCTGGGCTTGGGTTTTGGGCTTCTACTCTCCACTGCAGCCTAACCCTGGCCCCACTCACAGGAACCTACTTGGTAGAAGACTGTGTAGACCAAAGGCAGGCACCAAACTGCAGGGATTGTGACAAAGGCACCTTTACGGCTTCCCAGAACCACGTCAAACAATGCCTCAGCTGCAAGATATGTCGGAAAGGCAAGCCTTGGGCGGGGGAGGGGCTCCGGAGGGGCCTGGTCTGAGATGGCCGGTGACCGTGTGTGTGTGTGTGTGTGTGTGTGTGTGTGTGTGTGTGTGTGTGTGTGTGTGTGTGTACGTGGGTGTTTACAAGGGGTCAGGATTGGAACCTGCTTGTGGGTAGGGTGGAACATGAGTGCACATGGGACTGTTTATGCTACAAGCACAGATGCACACACGCTGAAGAGGGGAAGCCAGGATTCGTATGGGAAAAGGGATGCGAGACTCATGCGTCATTTCCTTCCCTCTTCAGAAATGTCCCAGGTGGAGATTTCTCCTTGCAGAGCAGACAAGGACACTGTGTGTGGCTGTAAGGAGAACCAATTCCAGCAATTCTTCAGTGACAAACACTTCCAATGCATGGACTGCAGCCCCTGCTTCAATGGCACCGTGTCTATTCCCTGTGAGTCCAGACCCCTCCCCCTCCTCAGGAGCATCCTGCCTCTCAGGCAGAAGATTTCCACTTCTGTCCCCCCCCCCCAATGAGGTAGCATCTCCTCCCTTCCCATTCTCTGGTCTGTGGGTCTGAGCTCCTATGTAGTGCCTGCATCTTGCCCTTCCTCTTCGCTCTGGTCCTCAGACTATACGTACACTTTCTTAGTCTTTTTGCCTTCTCTCAGGTAAACAGAGTCAGGACACCGTGTGTAACTGCCACAAAGGATTCTTCCGAAGTGGAAATGAGTGTGTCTCTTGCAGTCGGTGAGTATCTGCCAACTGGCTGGGGAGCTGGGGTGGATGAGCATCTGTGGCTGGATTAAAGGAGACATCCTACAACTGGATGAGAGACAGGCACTACATCAAGATGCCAGATAGTCCCTTCTCTTTCTCCAGTATGTTAGTGAGCAGACGACCTGGCTTAGCGGTAAAGTCTGACAACCTGAGTCCCATCTCTGGAACCCGTGCAAAGGAGAAAGGAGAGAGTATCAATGTCACAGAGCCGTCCTCTGGCCTCCACACATGTGCTGTAGCATGCGTGCGTCTCCAGGGCTGGGCAGTTACATGCGAGCACCCCGTGTTCTTGACTGCACTGTTCTGTGCGGCTTGCTATTGATAACACCTTGGGTTTGATGTGCATGCCACTCCCCTATGGTGATTCCTCCCCAGCCTCCTTGGCAGACTTCCTCATTCCTGTGACTCCACTTGGGCTGCTCTTACACATTTGCTTCCAGAGAAGTAACTCTGAGACTCTCATAGCTGAACTGACCTGGGGTTAAATCCTAACCTACCCATTTCCTGGCTGTGCAACCGTGGGCAAGTTATTACATCTCTACACCTTAGGTTTCTTAACCTTTAGAGTAAGGATGGGTGGGAGTGGAAGTGTGGTTCAGTGGTAGAGCACCAGCGTAGCATATTCCAGACTCTGGGTTGGATCCCAGGGTCATAAAGCCCCAAAACAGAAATAGACCAACAACTTATGAAGCTGTCTGAGCCAAAGCTATTTCCATATATTTCCACTCAGTTTCATCTCAAGACAGTTTGTGTACACCCAATCCCGTGTTTTCCACCCTGATTTGGTGAGGCAGACAAACAGGCTTTTCCCTGCTTCAGACCTCACACTCGCCTTCCTCTGCCAGCTCCCCTGTGCAGCTTTCCCAACCGCCCTCTGCCCTGTGACAGCTCTCAATGGACAGCTCTCTGGCTGCCCCAGTGATAGACATTCTAAAACCGCTCACACTCGCATGACCCGTCATCTCCAAAGTCAAATGCTGTAAAAGCCTGGTGTCATCAGAGACAAGCCCTTCAGCTTCATGTATGAGTCATCTTTCTGGGCCTGCGGCTTAATCAGCTTGAAGCAAAGAAAGGTTTCTTTTATCATGGCTTCCTTCAGCTCACGGCGTTCGACCTTGCTGCTTTGGAGCCTGGGCTGAGGTTGAGCATAGTGATCAGAGCACACCATGGGACAAGACTGCTCACCATATAGCCGCTGAGAGGCAGAAAGGGGTCAAAGGCAAGCAACCAGTCCTCACATATACTGGGGAGCAAGCCTTTACCACAGGGGCCCTGACTGGACGCTCCAGATCCAAACCGTGGGTCTCTCTGTGCTACAGTCCCTCCAGCAAACCCAACAATAAACTCAGCCACCTACTAAGTGCTCACCATTCAGGGATAAGTACTTGACCCTTAATCCCAAAAAGTAAGAGGTGGTATGATCACCATGTCTCTGGGCCATGAAAGTGAAAATGGCTTGTTTGAATCATGTCATTAGTCAGTGAATTTATACTCTGACCATAACTGCCTTTTCAGACATTTTTAACTGTTGATTGACTGTGGAATCCAGGCTCTTGCATGATGATGTTCAAGTGCTCTACCATGGAGCACCACAGATCTGCCTGCCTTAGTCTCCTGAGTGCTGAGATGCTGGCATTTAAAAAATACTTCAAAAATATTATTTATTTTATGTGTATGAGTGTTTTGCCAGCATATGTGTCCCATGTACATGTCTGGTACCCTCAGAGGCCAAAAGAGAGCATCAGATCCACTGGACTCGGAGTTACAGATGGTTGTGACCTGCTGTGTGGGACTCTGACTACTTTAAACTTATCTGCACAGCCTGCTTGCCCCTTCTCTTCCTCTCCCCTTCCTTTCCTCTCTCCATTCTTTCTCAACAGGGTCTCCTGTTGCCCAGGCTGACCCCGACCTCACTAAGTAGCTAAGGATGACTTTGAATCGATCCTCGTGCCCCCGCCCCGAGTGTTGAGATAATTTACATAGACTGCCACTCCCTGCAGTCGATACAGTCCTACCAAGATCCCTTCAACTTGTGAAATGAGACGGTTGTGTGAGGAGCTGTTTCACCCTTCTGCACGGGTTTTCAGGGCGGGTTAAGCGCCACTGTACTGAGAGCTAGCCCAAGGGATGGCAGAGCAGAGAGCGCCCACAGCCCTTCTGCTTACCAGCATTGCCTCTCCTTCCAGCTGCAAAGGAAATCACAACTGTTTCCAGTTTTGCCTACCTCCAACCGAAAACGTCACAAACCCCCAGGACCCAGGTGAGGAGGAGTGGCCCGGTGACCGTGCTCATGGCTGGCTGGCTGCCCAGATTCCCTAGCCTGCCCTTCCCCTCTCCAGAGTCTGCTGCGGGCTCACAGCGGGCTCACAGCGGGCTCACAGCGAGCTCACAGCCAGCATCCAAGCACCCTCTACTTGGTCTGCAGGTACTGCGGTGCTGTTGCCCCTGGTTATCTTCCTCGGCCTTTGCCTCTTGTTCTTCATCTTCATCAGTTTAATGTGCCGATATCCCCGGTGGAAGCCCAGTGTCTACTCCATCAGTGAGTGTGCAGTCCAGGTGTCGGTGGAGCGGTGGGGAGGGGGTCGTGTGTGGGAGATGGCGGGAACTGAGGAGCGGCCCCTTTGTCCATGGCTAACGGTTCTGGAGGATGGGAGGGAAGCCATACTGTATCAGTAATTCTCTTGTCCCTGGGGCCACACACACCCTGAGGCGTGACACCACAAGTCCCCAAGGCCAGGGTGCTGGTGTTGAGAGGGAAGTGAACTTCATGGTGCTTTGTCTCTTTTTTCTCAGTGTGTGGGAATTCAGCACCTGATAAAGAGGTGAGAGGAAAAGACTCCGACTTCCAAACCCCTGATACCCAAATTACTTGGACTGGGGTGGTGGGCTCCCTTAGTGCCCCTACCTCTGTCCCCGTAAGGAATCAAAAGCCCGGATTCTTCCCCCACTAATATGATGCCTTCTCTCTTTCAGGCGGAGGTGGAAGGAATTGTTACTAAGCCCCTAACGCCAGCCCCTGCCCCAGCCCCAGCCTTCAGCCCCACCCCTGGCTTCAGCCCCACATTGGGCTTCTGCTCCACCCCGGGCTTCAGTCCTGTCTCCAATACACCCATCACCCCCGGCCTCCCCTTCGACCCTAGTAACTGGCCCAACTTCAGGGTCATGCCACCTCTCAGGGAGGTGGTCCCAACCCAGGGAGCTGACCCTCTTCTCTACGCATCCCTCCCCACCGCATCCCTCCCCTCCGTGCCGGTCTCCACCCCTGTTAAGAAATGGGATGACTGCGCCCACCCGCAGCGACCTGACAGTGAGTTTGGGCTCCCAGCAGTGATGGGGACGTTACTCCTGGAAGGAGTCGGGCAGGGCGGAGGCCAAGACGGCAGGGCTGCCGCTGGAGGTGCACGGTCCTTGTCCCCAGCTGCAGACCCCGCGACGCTCTATGCGGTGGTGGACGGCGTGCCTCCCTCGCGCTGGAGGGAGTTCATGAGGCTCCTGGGGCTGAGCGAGCACGAGATCGAGCGGCTGGAGCTGCAGAACGGGCGCTGCCTGCGCGAGGCTCAGTACAGCATGCTGGAAGCCTGGCGGCGGCGTACGCCTCGCCACGAGGCCACGCTCGAAGTACTGGGGCACGTGCTTTGCGACATGGACCTGCGGGGCTGCCTGGAGAACATCCACGAGGCGCTGGGAAACCCCGCCTCCTTCTCATCTGCGCCCTGCCTCCCGCGGTGAGGCCACACCCCTGCCTCAAGGGAGGGACTTAAGGACAGTCCTGGCCAGCAGCTCTGCTGCCCTGTGGCCTCCTCTGGATGAAAAGGAGGGAAGGGCATTGCAAGGGGCAGCCTCGAGCTAGCAGCTGCTTCCTTGGTGCTACCCACTTGGTGTACATAGCTTTTCTCAGCTAAAGGACTGCCCCAGAGCCAGTCACTTGTGCGGGGGCAGCAATATGTGCTATCTGTCTGTACCCAGCAGGCTAGGGGGGCCAAAAGCCAGAACAGGTGATTGTAGAGGAAAAGGACACTATATCTCATGCCCACTTGGGATCCACAGGACCCAAGCAAGGCTTCCTGGGTCTTTTTCACAGTAGGTAAGCAATATTTGTATCAATTATATCACACTAATGGAAACTCGGCCTCCCCCTTTTGCTCCCTGCCTGGACAAACACAGCTGAACTGTCTAAGGTAGGGGCAAGCACAGAAAAATGGGGGCTCTAGCTGGAGCCATGGACTCTTGTAAATACACTAAAAGTCTAAAAATGACCTCTGACCCTGAAAGAGTGGTTTGTGTATTGGGGAGGCTGGGCAGAACCCAGGACCTGAGGAGTGGCTTGGAAAGTCCAGCCACGCTGCCGCTTTACAGAGTAGACTGTGCATCACCGCCCAGTGGGTACCCATGATTCCCTCCGCCCACCCTCATGCAGTGTTGACCAGTGGCCATGTTTCCGGGCAGCTTTATGTGGGGGCTCAGAGGTGCGTCTGTGGGACACAACGGTGCAGTTCTTGACCTCAGGGTCCCCAAAGCAGGAGGTGGGTGCCTGGGTCAGGCTTGGTTTGAAGTGGGTCCTTGAGGTAGAGTCCAGGGGGAGGGTGGTGACCAGCACTCTTGGGGAGACAATTCCTCTAGGAGATGTGTCAAAAGGGCTTGGGTGCTCCTCACACTTCTCTGTAAAGGGAGGAGACAGACACATTAGGTCAAGGTCAAACTTCGGAGTAGATGACAGTTAAGCTGAGACCCTCCCTGCGTGGGTCCCTGCTCTGCACTGCGGTCCTTAGAACGGCCTCTCCCTCCCTTCATACTCCCCTTTTATCCTACAGTGGTTTCCCTTCTGCACTTACGATGTGGACACGGGGGTGTCCAGCTGTATGATGTGGGTCCCCCTCATTCTCTGCAGCTGGGCTCGAGTCAATTTCCGGGGTTTGCCATCCCCGGGTTCCGAGGCTCCCTCGATCCTTTGGCTGGCCAGCTCCTCCCTTATCTCCCTGAGCATGTCCTCGGCCAGCAGGGGGCGGCGGCGGAGTCCAGGGGATAGTGGCCCCTCTTCGTCTGAGGAGTCCCAGGGGCTTTCCCCAGCAGAGTCAGTGTGGGTGGGGGACTGGGGGAGCGGACTCCGCCGCTCTGCCCTGTTTAGGGTTTCCGCCACCACATTCCGTGTGGCCAAAGTCTCGTCTTCCTCTTCGGACCAGGTTGGGGGCGCTGTCCTGGCCAGACTGCCTGCTCTTAGTATCCCGTCTGGCAATTCTGGGGCACTTCGTCGCTGGCAAGCTTGGGGGTGAGGAGGCTGGGGGCGCAAAGGAACATCTCGGAGTTCCAGGTTGGAGAAGGTGAGACGAGGGTCCCTACGAAGAGCCTTGGCCCGAAGCCTGTTCAGCGGGGAGCGAGAGGTCTTGGGGGAACTTGGAATCCAGGTGCTGTAGCCGGAGTCCGAGGTGTCGTCAGGCATGGAGGGAGTATCTTCATCCGTATCTTCAGTCACCACTAGGCGGGGGATGACGCTGAACTCCAAAGCCCTATGGTTAACAGCAAAAGTGGACGGGGATAATGAGGATCACATAGAAGCCCAGGAAGCCTCCCCATCACTCCACTCAGGAACAGGCACTCCACACTTACTGTCCTGTCTCTTCACACGACACTGATCGCTTTCCTCGCCTCACTGGCTGGAACTGTGCTCTATAAAAGCCCTGGATACTCACTTTTTTTAGACAGCACATATACTAACATTGGAATGACAGAGGAGATTACCATTCCTGTGTAAGTTCATGCAATTTATGAAGTGTTCCATATTTCAAGACCTTGAGCTAAGCTGGGTGTGGTTGCTCAGGAGGAATGTCATGAGTTCGAGGTCAGCCTGAGCGACACACTTTTAAAACAAACAAAAAGAGCTTGGGCTGCCTCTGAGCTATTTGATCCACAGCACCTGGTTGGGACCTCACAACCAGCAGCAGCTTGTCTCGTACGTATTTGCTGACTGGGTCCAGTGGTGGGTTCTTTTTCTCTGGAAGTTGCTAAGCAGCTGTATCATCCTGGACGGACCTCTTACACCACGGGGATTTGAACTTGCGGTGTCCTGGAAGCACTGACATTCTGAGAAGCCATATCTGCCCTCACTCTGGAGCCTGCCCCTCACAGGGAGCTCACATGCCATGTTTCCGCTTCCTTTGCCCTGTGCCCACGCTGTCCCACGCATCCCTTCACACGGTAGCTGCCAACCTCTTCCACTCCTGGCTGCTGCTGGTGTTCCTGTACCCACACTGGGTCTCCCAAGGCTGTACTGACTCTACTCAGCCTTTTAACTGTCTCCTCCCTCCTCCCGACCTGTGGCCTCCTCCCCTGAGGGCACACTTGAGTCTTACCTCCCCTCTGCACTGCTCTGAGAGTCCTCTGCGGAAGGAGTGGAGGGTCTGGTGCTGGGGGACTCCCTGCCCTGGTTGCGATATAGGGCCAGGAGCTCCCTCTTCTGTTGGACATACTCCTCAGCCTTCAGCTTCTGCAGACTGGCCTGGGGAGGGACTTTCATTATTATGAGCTCTCCTATACTGAGCACTTGCTGTATGCTGGCCACTGGACTAATTTACCTATGGGGTCTTTATGCCTCCTAACGCCCTTCTGAGGGCACGGGTGTTTACACTTCTGGTCCTACTGAGAAAGGGAGCTAGAAGGCTAGTGACAACCTCAGGAGTCGTTTTTTACATGAGGGAGCACAGTGGTGCCAAGATGTGGTGCCCTGAGCTGCAGAGCTGGTGCTGGGGTGACTGGGGTGGGCAGGAAGCCCCCTCTCCTCTACCATGTGCCTGCTTTTCACGACTCCGGATGCCCTTCATGCTCCTCTTTTAGGAGCTCTCCTTGACTGGCACGAGGCGCTGCAAGGGCTCTGAACCATCCTGGTGCTCAGGTTGCTCTTTTGGGCACATTCCTCTCCCATCACCTTGGCCTCCATCCCGAAGGTGGGAGGAGCAGGGGTCTGCATGCCCCAGGCTGAGGACCCCTCTGTCCCTTGGACGGGTGTGAAAGCAAAGCTGTTCCCAGATGGAAGAGAAGACGGCACATGTCCATGTTCCTTCTTCGGAGTTTTCATACAGAATAAAGTAGTGACAGCCGAGGGATGGCTTGTGAAGTACCTCCATGTGCATAGGTAGGTGCTCTGTAGCACGCCATCACCCTACAGTGTGACAGCATCATCACCCTACAGTATGACAGCATGGCCACGAGCGCATCCCACAGCTGCAAAGACGAGGCTCAGATGCAGCTACTGGCCAAGGAGGCAAGTGGAGAGGACAGCTGGGTGAGTAGGCTCTTTAAGTCCTAGCTCAGTGACTGCAAGCTTTGCAAAGGCAGCCTGGAGGGGCCCTGTTACCACAGGAGGACAGTGTTGGGGGGCGCACAGGGAGGCGGTAGGAAGAGGCTTGGCGTGAGGGTAGAGGTGGCTGCTATGGGCAGGATGGGCATCAGTATTCATAGGTGTGGCTAAGAAAACACTCAAGGGCTTCTTAGCTGGTAAAGAAAGGCCGTAGGCTGGACACGATCCCAGCATTTGGGTCTCAGTGGATCCACCTGAGGCAGGTGGATCTCTGAGTTCAAGCCAGCCTAGTCTACAAAGAGAGTGCCAGCCAGCCAGAGCTATACAGTGAGACCCCATCTCAGAAAGCAAGCAGGAAGGGAGGAAAAAAGGAAAGGAAAGGATAAAAAGGAAGGAAGGAGAGGAAGGAAGGAAGGAAGGAAAGGAAGGAAGGGAAGAAGGAAGGAAGGGAGGGAGGAAGGAAGGAAGGAAAGAAGTAATGAAGGAAGGAAGGAAGGGAGGGAGGGAGGGAGGGAGGGAGTGAGGGAAGAAAGGAAGGAAGGGAGGGAGGGAGGAAGGAAAAGAAGTAAGTAAGGAAGGAAGGGAGGGAGGGAGGGAGGGAGGGAGAAAAGGAAGGGAGGGAGGGAGGGAGGAAAGAAGGAAGGGAGGGAGGAAAGGAAGGAAGGGAGGAAGGAAGGAAGGGAGGGAGGAAGGAAAGGAAGGAAGGGAGGGAGGGAGGCAGGAATGGAGGGAGGGAGGGAGGAAGGGAGGGACGAAGGAAGGAAGGAAGGAAGGGAGGGAGGGAAGGAAGGAAGGAAATGAAGGAAGTAAGGAAATGAAGGAAGGAAGAAATGAAAGGAAAGGAAGGAAGGAAAAGAAGTAAGGAAGGAAGGAAGCGAGGAAGGAAGGGAGAGAGGAAGGAAGGGAGGGAGGGAGGGAGGCAGGGTTGTAGCTGGAGTTGTCTATCTACCCCTTCCCCAGGCATCCCCACCACAGTAGCTGATGGGGGCTGCACCTGGCATAGAGTAGGGCCCTCCCCCCATGCAATGCTCTGTTCTGACTGATGCTAGGCTAACCTGGTGACTCCATATTTGGCTTTGCCATTAGCTAGGGGAATATGAGCCAGCAGCCCGGGGTTCCTAGGCTTCTCCACAGCTTCTGTAGGAGCACGGGGGCGGCCAGGTCAGGACGAGACATGTTGGAGGAGAGTTGGGCAGGCATAGGAACATGATATCTAATGGAGAGTTCTAACTCTCCTTCCCTGGCTCCCCGGTTACTGAGCCAGAACAGAGGGTGAGACCTGGGGGCAGCAAGGGCAGCAAGCTAGCACACAGGGCCAGCTCCTCTGTCCTCTTCCCCAGCTCAGTGTCAAATGGGGAAAGGTACAAGCAAGGCGAAGGGACACACAGCTTGCTCCACAGGCTTCAAGCTCGAGTTTGGGACGGGATGTGACGGGATGCCAAGGACAGGGTTGAGGTGTGGAAGGAAAGCATGAGAAGGACAGGGGGGTCCTTAAGGGACATCAGTGCCAGCGGGCTCCAGGAGCTTGCTTCTCAGGAAGAGCAGGGGCGGGGCCCTAGGGAGCAGAGCACAGGACTTCCAGCTGCCTCAAAGCCTCAGCAGCAGTCGGCTCCGCGGCTACAGGTGAGCAGTATAGGAGAGGAAGAGCTAGTGCGTGGTGCCCCACAAAGCTGAAGAAAGGGAGGCTCCTGAGCAGGATTCCTGTGGAGAGTCCCCAGGGTGGAATGCCCTCTCTCCGCAGCTCCTTGGGCACACCAGATTCACCCACTCTCCCAGCACTGGATGACGAGGGTCACTAAATGGTGCCCCTCGCCCCTCAACTACCACACCAGTGCCTTCTTCCGGCTCCACACCTCCTGCCGCCCTTTCTCCTCCTCCTCTCTTCCTTCTCTCTACTCCTGTCTCCCTCCTCCTTCTTTCTCTTCTTTGTTTTGTGACTCTAGGTCTTTCTATGCGGCTCAGATGCAGAACTTGCTGTATAGCCCAGGCTAACCCTGAACTCACGAACTCCTGTCTCAGCTTTCCGGGTGCTCGGACCATGGGAGTGCTCAGCCATCTCACCCTTTCCTGTAAGCAGAACAGTGACGCTCACCCGTGCAGCAGCACAAAGTGCAGGGCCTCACCCTGGCTCTCTGGCTACCACCGTCCCCTCCCAGACGAAGACCAGGCTGAAGAAGGGGAGTAACTTGTCAAGAACACAGACAGTGTGGGCTCTGGACTCTTGCTTTTAGTCCTCAATTGGGCCCGCTTTCGTTTCTTGGTCTCTACCTCTGAGGGTTCCTTTTGTTCCCCTCATCAGTTCCTTTTCCTCTCCCCAGCCACTAAGTTTCCCCACCTCCACCCGCAAGCTCATTTTCTGTTAAAGTGTGAGCCACCTCTGTAACCCACAGGGAAGACACCTCACTTAACATTTCTGCAAGGAAAGAAGAAAAAAATCTGAGCCCTGGGCAGTGGAGGGACCAAAAGATACTCTACCACCCCCTTTGTGTGTGTGTGTGTGTGTGTTTGTGGTATGTATGTGTCTGTATGTTTGTGGTGTGTGTGTATGTGTTTGTGGTATGTGTGTGTGTTTGTAGTGTGTATGTGTGTTTATGGTATGTGTGCATCTGTGGTGTGTGTATGTGTGTTTACGTGTGTGTGTGTGTGTGTGTGATGTATGTGTGTGTGTTTATGGTATGTGTGTATGTGTGGTGTGTGTGTTTATGGTATGTGTGCATCTGTGGTGTGTGTGTGTGTGTGTGTGTGTGTGTGTGTGTGTGTGTGTGTGTGTGTGTGTGTGTGAAGACTGACAGTAATCCAGAAGAGAGTGTTCTGGATGGATTGCAGTATTTTAAGCTTTCAGTTGCTGGTCCTAGAGCAGGAGTGATGCTCCATTTGTCACCCTGCGGAGACTATCAGGGCTGTTATTCTGCATATGAACACCAGTAAGTTTCACTCGCTCCCACAGGTTCCACAGGGAGAATGTGCAAGAAGGCTTGTGCTAAGACTGGGAACAAAGCAAGGGAAAATGTATAGAGGGCCAGGTGAAAAAAACAATTATAGATGTGGAAATGCAAGTATAACTATACACGTACATGCACCACCCACACAGACAAATAAATGTACATATTACTCCATGGGGATGGAGTTCAGAGGTCAAGTACTTTCCCAGTATAGGAAAGACCCTGGGTTTGAGCCCCAGCTTGACAACAAACAAGACAAAATAGTCTAACTCAAATTTCCATCTCTCTTTGCCATTCTGCTCCCACCGTGGGTTGACTGGCAGCCTGGAGAAAGCAAGGTCTGAATCCTAACCCCTAGAAGTCACAGGTGCGCCCGCCCTTAGTTGGGGAAAGGGTCTTTGAAGGACCTAAGGAGGCGATCTCAGACGGTGGGTTCTGCACTCCTGCTGGATTCTAAAGTGGGTGTCTGCTGTCTTCACAAGAAATGGAGGGAAATTTGGACACCAGCATACAAAGGGGAAAGCCAGAGATGGGGGTGGGGGTTGCTGCTCCAAGACAAGGTCTACTAAAGCCATCAGTAGCTGGGAAGAGTCACAGATTGTCCCCTAGAACCTGGGCAGGAAGCTCATTTCTGTCAACACTTTTGACATTGAACTTGTGGCCTCCAGAATTATGAGGGACTCTGTTTCTGGAGTATTTTGTTTTGTTTTCTGTGGAACTGTGGCTCAATCAACTCCAGGGTTGTGTTCATGCTAAGTATACACTGTCCCACTAAGTTGCACCCTAGCCGGTTCCAGTTGTTTTAAGCCACTGAATTCGTAGTAAGCATCACAGCTTTACTGATCTCTCTTTTCTGAACTCCTGCTTTTATGGCATAAATTTTCTTCCATCACCACTCTGTTTAAAACCTCCACTGGCTCCATACAGTCTATGGGACAAAGTTCACGTTCTTAGCATTGCCTTAGAGATGGACATGATTCTGTGTTTGACCGCCTGGACTCAAACTCACATGTCATGCCCTGGCGTTGTCAAGCAAATATCCTGCTCTGTCCTGCACATGCACACGCTGGTGCACACACATGATATACAACAGGCAGGCAGGCAGGCAGACATACATACATACAGACAGACAGACAGTCTCTCTCTCTCTCTCTCTCTCTCTCTCTCTCTCTCTCTCTCTCTCACACACACACACACACACACACACACACACACACACACACACGCTCCATGGTGGCAATGGGAGAAAGTGTGGGAGGGTAAGAGGACATGAGACAGTCTCACATGGTCCCAGCTGAACTCTGGAGTTTGTATGACCTTGGACTGGCCCTGTTCCCTGCCTATAAAGTGAGACATGGGGCCAACTTGATGCCCTCCCAGCTCAGTGATTCTCTCAACACACCTGACTGTTTCCTGTTTCTGGAGTTTTGTATTTGGCATCTCCTCCTTCCTTTGTCCCCTTTGTCCCCCTTTGTCTCCTATGTCAGTCCCCCAGGCTCCTTGTCGGCTCTGAAGCCATGACTTCTCCCCCTAATCTCCCTCAGCACCACTGCTCTTCCAGCAGACAGGTGGGAAGAAGGCACCGCCCCTTTCTCTCTTGCTGTCTTCTGCATATTTGCCTTTGTTATTTGTTGTACTCTGATTACTCTAATGAGCTGCAGTGCAGACTCCTGGAGGGCAGGAATGCTATTTTCATTCTTTTCTGATTCCCCGGCACCTAGCCCTAGTGCCTGTCTCCAGAAATCGCCCCCTGGGTGTCTGAGCAGAAGATAAAGTTTAGAAATGCATTGTTTCAGTGTGGTCAAACCATTAGGGTAGACCCCATCTTGGGGTCCCGTCTCAATAGCTGGTTCAGTAGCTAGCTGTGGTTTTCTCAGACTGTCCTCCTCTGGAAGGAATCCAAGTCTGCCCAAGTCTGCACCTGCACTTAGCCCAGCCTCTCCGCCCTCCTTCGCCCCTCCGAGCTCCAGGGATGCACGCTCACCCCTCTCCAAGGCCTGACCACCACCTACCTGAGCCTGCAGGGTCTTCTCCACCCACCGGGCACGATCTGCCGAGCTGGGACAGTGCACAGTGAGGGCACTGGAGACACACTGGAATTCAGTGAGGTGGATCAGCAGGAAGCTGTCTGCACGGAGAAGAAGCTCTGCTTTAAGGCCTGGGCCTTATCTGACCCCGATCCCGACCCTTCCTCCTCTGGTAGAGGGGACATACTGGGATCTCGCAGTGGTCGGCACACAAGCTTCTCCAGCATGAGAGGGGGACGGATGACCTTGGCTCTGACCACCCTGCGCTGAGGCTTGGTTACGAGGAGCACATCAGAGAAGAGGAACAGGTACACATCCAGCTGCAGGAGAAAGCGGCAGGGTCAGCCAGGGGCGGGGCTGGTCGGGGCACTGACTCACTGGCTGAGCAGAAGGACCAGGGCAAAGCTATGGAGTGTCACACTGGGAGGCTACGACTGGGTCCCGTCTCTTGATTTACAGGCAGGGAACAGGGCTGGCTCAAGGTCATGCAAGCGACTGGAGCTAGGCAGGACCCGAACCATGTCCTTTTGCCCGGCCCACCACACTTTCTTCCATCGCTACCTTGCATGTGCGGTCTATTACGTGTGCGGTGTATGTGGTGACTGTGTGGATGCTTGCCCAGTGTGCCCATGTGCAGGAGAGAGCGGGATGCTGGGTGTCCCGCTCTCTCACTTTCTATGTTATTGTTCTGAGACAGGTCGACTGGCCAGGGAACTCTCGGGATCTGCTTGTGCTATCCAACAATCCTGGGGCTACAGATGCAAGCAGCCATGCCCAGCTTCCTCCCTCCCTCCCTCCCTCCTTTCCTTCCTTCCACATTTATTTTATTTCAGTGACGTGTGTCTCTGCGTGGATATGTACATGTGAGTAAAAATGCCCAAGGAGGCCCGAAGGTTGTTTTGGCTCAACAACCCCCCCCCCCAGCTGGAGTTATGGGCAGTGGTGAGCCGCTTGACAATGGGTGCTGAGAACTGAACTTGAGTCCTCTGCAAGATCAGCAAGTGCAGTAGGGTGTTAATCCCAGCTTTAATCCCAGCACTCGGGAGGCAGAGGCAGGTGAGTTCTGTGAATTCAATGCCAGCCTGGTCTACACAGTGAGTTCTAGGACAGCCAGGGCCACATGGAGAAACTATGTCTTGAAAAAAAAGAGAAAAAGAAAAGGACCAGCAAGTGCTCTTAACAGCTCAGTTGTCTCTGCAGCTGTAGGCTCAGTTTCTTATGTGGGTGTTGAGTTGTCAAATTTAGGTTCTCTTGTTTTTTAAGTTTGGAGCCAGTTTGGTGACCTGTAGCTCCTTGATTTTTCTTTGGAAGGTCTATTTTTTTATTTGATGTGTGTGGATATTTTGCCTTCCTGTATGTGTCTAGACACCATGTTTGCAGTGCCTGGGGAGGCCAGAAGAGGTGTCAGATCCTTGAGCTGGAGTTATATAGACTGTGGTGAGTAGCCACACGGGTGCTAGGGACCGAACACGGGTCTTCTGCAAGAGCAGCCCGTGCCCTTAACTGCTCAACAGTGTCTCCATCCCCAGGTCCTCGTGCCTAAAGAGCAAGCGCTCTTCCCCGCCAAGTCACCTCTCCCAGCCCCGCTTCCAGCGTGTTGGCCTCCCATCCATGTCCTTCCATGTCCCACTCCGGTGCGGGGCACCCACCTTCCCTTCTCGCCCTTCCTTCACTCGCACAGGGCCTTCCAGCAGTAGCTGCCTGGTGTGCTCGGGGGCAACCCCTAGTATAGGGGCCATGAGGTCCAGGGTGGAAAATGGGCGCAGGTTCTAAGGGAACAGAGAGGAAGCAGGAAGGGGATCAGGGCGCCATGCATGTGTGCCTCTCCCATCCCAAGCCAGGGTGGCTCTGTCACCAGCCCATCCTTTCTGTGCCTGGAGCCACAGCAGACACCCTAGTGTCCCCTCTTCACTCTTCTCCTTTACCCGTTGGTCTCCTCCCACAGGAAGGAATGATGGGCACACCCAGTGGCAGTAGTGCGCAGGCGCGGGACCTGTTGGCCTCTGTCCTCTCCCAGCCGGGCTGCTCCCTCATCTACCTTCCCGGAACCTGGCATTTTTGGGGCCCCTTTCCTCACCTTCTCCACCTCCTCGTTGGAGGGCTCTAACACCTCATAGGGCCCTATGCGCTGGGCCGCAGCCAGCAAGCTCTCCTGCTCTTCACCCCGGCGGACCTGGCCATTTATGTGTCTCAGGAAAGACTCCACAGCTGCGATCTTAGGACGTGAGAAGCAGAGGGAGGCACAGCTGAGCTCAGTTTACCCACGCAGTGGCAGCCACAACACTCTAAAATAGGCCTAGTCAGTTAGCACTGTGCGAGAAATGGGGCCTCGGTGATCTCTGGAGATAGCTCTTACCCGTCACCCACCAGCCGCCAGCACCGAGGGCAGGAGCCTCACCCGAGCTCTTACCATGGCATTCAGGGCCTCTCGGGCTCGGGGCTCGGGGCTTCTCTTGAGCACAGCTTGCAGCAGCAGCGGATACTTGGTGATGCGCTGGTGGGGTTTGATGAGCAAGTCACCCAGCGTCTGTCTTCCCGAGCGCTTGTGCTTCTCACACCACTGCGGGGAAGGCCGGGGAGCTCAGGCGTGTGCAGGGACCCTCCTGCCTGCACATCCAGGGACTGCCTCAGCCCACGTGACCTGGCTGTGCACTCGAACCCCTCCAGCCTCCATGTCCCATGGCACCCCACCTGCACGAAAGTGTGGAACAAAGGGTTCGTGTCTTGCTGCTCCCGGGCATAAGCCATGGTCTGCTTCACTCGCAGGCAGTACTGGACGTACGGATGGAAGCGCTGGCCAAACTGGAGGAACAGATACAGGGCAGGGGGCGGGGAGTCATGAATAGACTCTGGCTGTAGAACACAGCCCCTAAATGAAGCCCCTGACAGCCTCTACCTCCCGGGATGCCTCCCACAGCCGGGTCCCTCATTCTGTGGTCCGGAGAGGAACAGACACCCTGAGGGGCAGGGCCTGGCTACCCCTGGAGTTCATTCTGTCCATGGCACTGCCTGTGCCTGCCCCTCTGAACTCACTCTCCCGCCATCAATAATTCAACCCGACTGTTTTCGGGACACTGGGGCTCCTATTTCTATGACCTAAAAGTTATCTGGAAGCCCTGCTCTGAAGGGAGGGGTGCTAAAGGCTCCCAGGAAACTGCTCCCCACAGCCTGGTTTTGTACCCCCTTCCAAGATTTCCGGCAGACCCCGAAACACTACGGTCGAAAGTCTAGACCCAGGCCAGTTCTCCTTCTCTTACCAAGTCCACAGTCAATGCCCCTGTGGCCTTTTACCAGCCCTTCCTACCCCAACTAAGTCCCCCAGGGGTCTCCTTACGGAGGCACCATTCTTTAAGACACATTCTTAAAATTTTTATTTATTTTACATGTATGAGTGTTTTGTCTGCAAGTGTGTGCCATATGTGTGTGTGCCGTGTGTGTGTGTGTGTGTATGTGTGTGCCATGTGTGTGTGTGTGTATGTGCGTGTGCTATGTGTGTATGTGTATGAGTGTGTGTGCCATGTGTGTGTATGTGTATATGTGTGTGCCATGTGTATATATGTGTGTATGTGTATGAGTGTGTGTGCCATGTGTATATATGTGTGTGTATGTGTATATGTGTGTGCCATGTGTGTGTGTGTATGTGTGTGTGCTATGTGTGTATGTGTATGAGTGTGTGTGCCATGTGTGTGTGTATGTGTGTGTGCTATGTGTGTATGTGTATGAGTGTGTGTGCCATGTGTATATATGTGTGTATGTGTATGTATGTGTGTGTGCTATGTGTGTGCATGTGTATATGTGTGTGCCATGTGTATATATGTGTGTATGTGTATGAGTGTGTGTGCCGTGTGTGTGTGTGTATATGTGTGTGCCATGTGTGTGTGTGTGTATGTGCGTGTGCTATGTGTGTATGTGTATGAGTGTGTGTGCCATGTGTATATATGTGTGTATGTGTATGAGTGTGTGTGCCATGTGTGTGTGTGTATATGTGTGTGCCATGTGTATATATGTGTGTATGTGCGTGTACTATGTGTGTATGTGTATGAGTGTGTGTGCCATGTGTGTGTATGTGTATATGTGTGTGCCATGTGTATATATATGTGTGTGTATGTGCCTGTGCTATGTGTGTATGTGTATGAGTATGTGTGCCATGTGTATGTGTATGTGTGTGTGCCATGTGTATATATGTGTGTGTATGTGCGTGTGCTATGTGTGTATGTGTATGAGTGTGTGTGCCATGTGTATATATGTGTGTGTATGTGCGTGTGCTATGTGTGTATGTGTATGAGTGTGTGTGCCATGTGTATATATGTGTGTATGTGCATGTGCTATGTGTGTATGTGTATGAGTGTGTGTGCCGTGTGTGTGTGTGTATATGTGTGTGCCATGTGTATATATGTGTGTGTATGTGTGTGTGCTGTGTGTATGTGTATGAGTGTGTGTGCCATGTGTGTGTGTGTATATGTGTGTGCCATGTGTATATATGTGTGTGTATGTGCGTGTGCTATGTGTGTATGTGTATGAGTGTGTGTGCCGTGTGTGTGTGTATATGTGTGTGCCATGTGTATATATGTGTGTGTATGTGCGTGTGCTATGTGTGTATGTGTATGAGTGTGTGTGCCATGTGTGTGTATGTGTATGTGTGTGTGCCATGTGTATATATGTGTGTGTATGTGCGTGTGCTATGTGTGTATGTGTATGAGTGTGTGTGCCATGTGTGTGTGTGTATGTGTGTGTCTGTATGTGTGCCGTTTGCATGTCTAGTTCTCTTAGAAGTTAGGTCAGGGCCCCTAGAACCAGAGTTACAGCGGTTGTGAGCAGCCATGTAGGTTCTTGGAAACAAACCCAGGTCCTCTGTCAGAGCGGCCAGTGTTCTTACTGCTGGGCCACCTCTCTGGAACTTTAGGCCTCATCCTTGCACTTAGCTATTTCGTGGTGGGTTTCAAAGGAATAATTAATATTTTACAGCAGTCAAGTAGTGCACCCTTGTTATTACAGCACCTGGGAAACTAATACAGGAAAGTCTTGACTACCAGGCTAGCCTGGGCAACATTGCCAGACCCTATCTTTAAAAAGAAAGAAAGAAAGCCGGGCGTGGTGGCACACGCCTTTAATCCCAGCACTCAGGAGGCAGAGGCAGGCGGATCTCTGTGAGTTCCAGGACAGCCTCCAAAGCCACAGAGAAACCTTGTCTCGAAAAACCAAAAAAAAAAAAAAAAAAAAAAAAAAAGAAAGGAAGAAAGAAAGAGAAGAAAAAGAAAATCAAATACAAGATTGCACATCTGGTGAGAGCACACCCCCTTGCACCCCTAACGTAGGGCTATTTTCATTTCATGGGTCTCCAGAAGACCGAGGAACCCTGGAGACAGGCATACGTGTGGACTGGGATGGAGGAGATGAGGTTATATTTTGGAGTTGGGGCTGTGCCCCGTGGTCGTTTTGGGCTGACCTCATTCATCTTGCTCTTTCTGGGTCTTCCCACACTCACTGTCAGGAAGCCGTTTTGTAGGCTGACAGGGTCCAGAGGCTGGCGGGAGGCTCGAGTCTCTTCTAGGACTGGCTGCAGCACCTCCTCCCAAAAGCTCCGGTGGACTCTAATCAGGTTGGGGACATTTCCAAACAGGGTCTCTGCTGACACCTGGAGGAGTGAGCAGGGCTTAGTAACAGACCTAGGTCGGGTCACAGTCAGGAAGGGACAAGCAAGGACTTTCAACTTCAGTGACAGGGCTGGGGACAAAGGGAGAACCTTGACAGTGGCCTGGAAGACCCTGGGTAGTCCCTCTACCCCTGTGGCCCCAGGGTGCTAGGGGCCTGGGCCAGGTGGGGGACTAATGCGAGTGAGAAGTTCAGGGAAGTCAGGGTGTCCCAGGAAATGCGGGAATTCAGCCTGAGCAGCCGCTGTGGCCCCGCCCCCTACCGCTGTGGCCCCGCCCCCTACCGCGTTTCCACTCACGTCAGTCAGCAGTCCCACCCGCTGCAAATTCAGCAGACCAGCTGCCATGAGCTAGAGGCAGGGAGGAAGACAGGGGCTCAGCACCTGGTCTCTCTTCTCCAGGGTCTCCCCAAGCCTGCCATCTTCAGCTCTCTGTTCCCGACCCTGAGCAGGTCTGAAATCATGGCTTGGAATCTTGCCCCCGAGCCCCTTCTGCTCTGGGAGAACGGAGATAATACCAAGGACCCAGGTGGGGAGGAGGCGAGGTTGGGGCTGAGGGTGGCTCACATCGGTCATGATCTTGAGCTTCCTGGAGTAGATCAGCTCAGTGCTCAGGAGCTCCCACAGTGCTTCCTGCTGGTGGCAAAGCTCACGGCTCATCTCCTGAGGGCGACAGTGCTGCTTCACTTGGGGAACGCTAAGGATAGGTGCCGTTTGTTAAGTGCTAGATCTGTGCCCTGGGTTCTGGTCCCTCTACACAGCACCTTTTTAATCCTAACCAACCCTCTAGTTTGTAGGTAGCATCACCCCCATTTTCCATATGAAGCAAGTGAGGATTGGAGAGGTCCTCCGTCATAACCAAGGCTTCACTAGTTGGTGGCAGAGCTGGGGTTTGAAGATCTCTAGAGGTTTTCCGCTCTGGGTGCCGTATACCAAGGCCTTTGCCTTTCCCTGGACAGACGTGAGATACGCGTACACTGTGTGGAGAAGGCTCTGATGCGTTGCGGGGACACAGACCATTCCAAACCTACCTTGTGTTCAGGTACCAGCTCCTTCCAGGACTTTTCCATGGTCAGGCCACTGTCACCTCCCTCTCCTATCTCCCAGCGTTTCCGGTCATCCGGTGGCAGGCGGGGCATCCCAAACATGCTAAATGTGTGCAGTCTCACTTCCAGCTCGTGGGCCTTGGTGACTTCCTGGGAGAGCAGAGGAGGTGACCAGCCTGACACATCCCCAACATCTGGTGCCCAGGCACCGGAAAGACTGCATGTGCACACATGCATACACACATGTGCCTGGCATGACATGAATTGGGTCATTATTACCCAGGAAATAAAGTTACACTTTTGTCTGCAGAAAGATTCCTGGGTAGAGGGATTTGAGGGGACCTCCCTGACCAGAACGATGCCTTCAAGAGGTTGTCTCACTTAGAACAGGGGGAGGAGCAGAGTCAGGCCTTCCAGAGTGGTCTTTAAGAATTGATTTTCTTTACTTAGAAAAACAAAACCCTGCTTTTGATTGTGCTGTAAGTTGAACCCAGGGCCTTCTGCATGCTAGGCAAGCCCTTTTCCACTGAGATACACACCCCAGACTGAGGAACCTTCAGGTAAGGACCAGACTTAAGAAAGCATGGTCTCACCGGGCGGTGGTGGCGCACGCCTTTAATTCCAGCACTTGGGAGGCAGAGGCAGGTGGATCTCTGTGAGTTCGAGGCGGGGCTGGACCGACAGCCTCCAAAACAATACAGAGAAACCCTGTCTCGTAAAAACCAAAAAAAAAAACAAAAACAAAAACAAAAACAAAAAAAAAAAAAACAAAGCATGGTCTCAGGTAACAATGACATAAAATGGACACATTTTTGTTTGTTCATGGAGTTTCTGGCTTGGCTGTCCCTGCAGGCCATCATGAATCGGGTTATGAACACTGAGGCAGAAGTAAAGGGAATCCTTACCTTGAGTTTGGGGGAGTGAGCTGGGCCAACCCCCAAATGGCCCCCATGCCTCTTCTCTGGTTCCCGAAGCAGAGGAGGCAGACCTCGGGCCTGGCCAGAGCCCTTGGTAAAAGGGACGTAGTGCTGGAGGAGTCGGAGACTAGGGTCCTGGGGAAAGAGAAGATGGGGGAGGTTCTGGGAGGTAGAAGGGGCCGAGCTCCTCACCCCTGCAAGCTGGACTGCTCGCTGCTTTCATCAAACCAGTTTGGTATGAGTTGCTTTGAGTCACAGTGGCTGCTGCCAGGCAGGGCAAGTTCAGCTGGGCTGGGGCATGCCTGCCTGGTTCCCCAGGGAACCTGGAGGTAGAAGCTGAGGCCTCCTGCGGAGCAGGTGCACACGCACACACATGTCTGTACTCTGCAGTGGGACACACACATGTCCGGGCTCTGCAGTGGGACACACACATGTCTGTACTCTGCAGTGGGACACACACATGTCTGTACTCTGCAGTGAGACACACACATGTCTGTACTCTGCAGTGAGACACACACATGTCTGTACTCTGCAGTGGGACACACACCTGTCTGTACTCTGCAGTGGGACACACACATGTCCGGGCTCTGCAGTGAGACACACGCATGTCTGTGGGTATCCATTCAACTCCAGCTCACCCAGCTGTACACAGACCCTCAGTGCCAAGGACTAGCAGGCATGGTGAATGATATATGCTGTGTTCCGAGTTCGTTCCTTTGTGACAGCTAGTCTCTCTCACACAAGGGAACGAGAACTCACAAAGGTGCAGCCTCCTCACGAGGGCTGCAGCTAGTGTCCTATGCCACTGGGAGTTGCTGTCCTTCTGTGTTTGAGGTTGGATGAGGCCTTAGCCACAAGTCTCCTCCCCAAGGCAGGCCTGGTCACATTCCTTGTCTGCCTTGGCCTGAATTACCCCACATACTTCCTAGTGTCCCTTTCCACCCTGTGCCTGGGAGGGTCTCCATCTCCCGGGGTGGAATCCTCCAGGGAGGCAGGGAATGCCCCCAGTCAGAAGTGGACCTGCCTTAAGGAAGCACTGAGGGCAGAAACAGCCTAGACCCTGGCTTCCACACCCCTTTCCTTTACTAGGCTTGGAGGTGGGCCAGTCAGGTAGAGCCAGGGGCGGGACCAAGACAGTTCCCTCCACTCCCTCCTCCCCTGTGAGAACAGGGGTGCCCTGAACCTTTGCTCTTCTTCAGTCCTGACTCAGGAAGCTTTGGACTCCTCCCAACTCCTCACAAATAGAGACTGAGAGATGTCTTTCCCACTGCCCTAGTAGCTCAGAAATGCCTTCCTATCCCTCCTCGGTAGGTGTGGCTCCCATAGGCTCCCTGCCTCTGCCGCTCTGTTGTCTGGGGCTGGGTGTGAAGTCCTGGGATCCTGGCCCAGCCAAGGCCCTCCTCTCCCAGCAACCCCAGAAAGCAGAGGAGGTTAAGGGACAAGAATAGAGCAGCCTGCGAAACTATAAGGGGACAGACTTCAAAGCCTTGGTGTCCTCCCTCCTGCCCCACCCGGGTCACCTTCCGGGCACAGCAGACTCACCAACACAGGAGCTCTTCTGGGATAGACATTCCCAGCAGCGCTCTGGGCAGAAGTCGAATGACGGCCCCCGTAAGTCTCAATTCGGGAAGCAACCAGGCCTTGAAGGGGACCCTCATCTGGAGGTCCAAAGGCTTGCATTGCTCTATCCTGGCTCACTCCCAAAGGGCCATAGTGCCAATGCCCTGGAGAAAGGGGGTTCCCTTGTCTGCAAGACAGAGAGCCCAGGCTGGGTTAGTGAGGGTGTCTCCACAGATCAGATAGCAGGGAAAGACTAGAGGCCAGAGAGGGGAAGAAGGTGACCAGATGGTGATCACATGGGGGGAAGTGGGGGTGCATTATCTATAAGTTGGTGGGGGGAGAGCAGGTCCAGGTGCATGTTGGGTAGAAACATCTGCTTTACATTTGGGAAACGTTCCCACTTTGGCCTCAAAGGATGCTGTAATCTCAAGAGCAGCTGGGAGTAAGGGTCACAGAAAATCTCTAGTGCTCTAAATAGCCCCAGGTAGAAGCGTCCTCTTGTAGCTAGTCTCCTCTTCCTGTGCTACCTTTGACAACGCTGCACAAACTCCATGGCGTGACGGCCAAGTGGGTCTCCCATGTTGGAACAGACTATGGGCTAAGGATGGCTTTTTTATTTTCTTTCCTGATTTGAGACAGAGGGGTTTCATAATGTAACCCAGGTTGACCTGGAACACACAGTGTAACCCAGGCTAGGCTGCCTTCCAACTCTGGATCTCCCCTGCCTCAGCTTCTACAGTACTATGATTACAGACATATTCCATCACACTTGGCAACTTTTACATTTTTAAAAGTAGAACAAAGTAAAAAGAAAAACGTTTGGGGAAAGTGAATAATACACGCAGTTCTCATTCTGTGAGTTCCAGCTAGTTCAACCACAGTCCATCCAGCCACCTCTACTGATGGCTCGCTGTCCATGGCTGCTTTTTGGTTAGTAGAAACTGAGACCCTATAGGCCCAAGAATCGACTTTTTTTCTGTCCCTTTATTGAGAAGTATGCACACCCCTTACCTGGACCCCCCACGGCCGCGCACAAGCTGGTGAAGTTGGGAGAGCTGTTACACAGGGTCGGTAGAGGCAAGCCTAGCAGAAGCAGCGCTCTGGTCTCCCACTAACTTCGGTCTTTCCCAGCCTCCGAGGACAGCACCGTGGAGCTGGAAGTCAGCCGCGGGACTCCTCCCCTCTTTCCTAAACCTGGATGGAAGTCCCATCCCTTCCAGTAGGCAGGGCCTGGAGGGAAGAGGCCCTTAGTGGGAGATGGGCTCAAGAACACTATACAGGGGCCTCTGGCCCCTCCATTTCTCTCCCCTATGTTTCTCTGACTTAGATACACAGGAGATTGCTCATTCTGTCATCCCCCGCCCCCCCCTCGCCAACAGTCTTGCTTCTGAGGTCAGCCAGCCCCCCCCTCCCCGCCCCTTACTATCCCTCCCCGCTTCACCCTCTCCATCCTTTACCCAGCCCCAGCTAGTCTCCCTCCCTCCCTCTTCTTTCCCTGCCTCCTCCCTCCTTCTTAGGCACTGCGACCCTGTCCCAAGTTCCCGGTTCCCTGCCAGCCCGGCATCCGCCCTCCCAGGTCTCACCTGTGCACGCAGGTGTCCCGGCTTTCGCTGTCCTCGATGCCTGCTGGGGCCGGTAGGATTCAGGGTCTTCGTCAGCCTCCTCGGTAATGGCAGCCCCTCGATCCCAGCCTGGGACTGGGACCGAGCGGCCCGCGGGATCGGGCTGCACCGGGCTGGGAGGGGAGGCGAAGGTGGAGGAAGAGGGGCGGGACGCGGGCTGGCACCTCCCCCTGCCCGAGGGCCTTGCAGCGCCGCTGTCGTGGTCACCGGGTGGGGAGGACTGGGAGCCAGACTCCGGACACAGCCACCAACCACTCCCGGGCCAGGAGCTCTCCCTTCGTGCTGAGCCCCCCCTCCCTTTCTTTTGCTCTGAAGTAGCCAGCCATCGGCCACTTGGTCGGGGCTTGGGGCTGGAAACTGTTCCACCCGCCGGCCATCAGAGCGTCCTCCCTTCCCGGCCAGACCCCTGCCAGGCGCCAGGGTAATGAGGGGGTAAATGAGAGGTTGGGTGCTGCTAGGCGGAGGTGGTGAGGGTAATGACCAAGTGATTTGTGGCAGGTACCCCTCCCTTCTTTGCACCCCTGTCCTTCTTGCCTGTCTCAAACCGTTAACCCGTTAACCCGAGAGGGGAGTCAACCTAACATCAGGAAGGACATAGGCCTGGGATCCTCAGCCCCTTCGCTGTCCTCTGGCCATGGAGTCCAAAGTGTAGCCCTTATCTCCACTGGACCTGCTGGCCTGCCCTGGCAACCGGGCGGAAGGTTCTGTGGACTTTGCTTTTGATTCAGGGAGGGGTCAGGGGCCAGGCTGAACCCATACCCAACACTCCTGTCATTACCTAGGCCTGAAGGGAGGGGGAATACCAGCTGGGGGCAATGCTCGGGGACCGGAGTGGCCTTCCTAAGGGCTACACAGACCGTTTTCTCGAAAGTGGTACTGCACTGGCTGGTCTGATGTGAAAGGCTTTCTCACATTCCCAAGAGTCTGAGGGGAGTACTGGCTGTGTGAAATAAGAGGCATCCCGTGGCTCTGGGGGGATGGGCAGGCCCGAGACCCACTTTGGCGTCTTCCTCCTGCCAGAAGGTTCTGACACAACCTCTTACCATGCAAGGCATCCTGAAGGCCATGAAACCCTTTAGGAAGTCATCTCCCTGTGTTCGGGGCAAAGGGCGCTCACTAATTCTCACAGGCTCCCATGGCTCCTTTCGGTCTGCAGAAGCATCTTTACCGTTGGTTGTTTGAATCCTGTTCTCAGCCATAGATTTGCCTTCCAGTGTCCCTTTTCCGATTTTGATGAGGACTCGGTGTTGCAGATTTGCTCTGGACCTCTGGTTTCCTCCATCCTGCCTCCCAGCTGATCTGTGTGCACCGGGCAAGGGGTTGGGGGAGAATGGGACTCTGTCTGTTTCTAGCATTCACACTGTGTGTTGGTGGTGGCAGGAAGAGGAGGAGGGAGAAGAGGAAGACATATCCAGGCCTGACGAGAATGGCTATGAAGGAGAGAGAAGTTAATGATCCAGATGGTGATGATTACCGGCCATGTTAAATGATACCCCAGAGACGTTGGTGCTGAGGGCTCCCGGCTTCTCCTCCCACTGTTCCCAGATGGAGATGGAAGGAGGAGGAAGAGGGAAATTGGAATTGAGAAGGTACCAGAGACAGTCCTGGACTTGCATCTCCCTGGGGTGAGCTGCCTTCCACAGACCCAGGGAGAGTTAACCCTTTTGTTTCCCTCAAGGCTGAGGTCTCACCTCCACCTCCTACTGCCCCAGGGCCTGTACCTAGCCTCCCTGGCAGGAGAGGTTCCCACAGACACAGCTAAAGACAGAGGTGTGGCCGGCCACAGGTGTGTGGGCAGGTGGACTGTCCAACCGTCTTGTTCCATTCCTTCTAGTCTGGCTGTTCTTTCTGCAGCTGCTCCCTTTCTGGAAGCTCTTCTGTGCCTTGAGGATAGACTCCTGAGGTGGACTGAGACGGGAACACACCCGGAGTAACTTGACTAGGCCCCTCACTCAACTGAAGACTGGCATGCCAGAGGCATCCTCCTGAACAGAGGAGAACTCCTGGACTATTTTCCTTTTTGGCTTCCTTGGAAGTCCTAGGTCTCCATAACATGAACCACATTTTTTTTTTAACATGAACCACATTTTTTTTTCCTCTGAACCAGAAGCTCTTCATAAGGCCCCCAGCCTGACCCCATAGCTGAGGTGTCCTTCTATTATTCGAACTTGGAGACTCCAGGGGCTCCTTCCTAAAGATAACTTTTGGGCCTGGTGATGGGTCTTATGTGGGTTGGCATAAAGCCTCAAGAGGCAGGACGGCCTGGAAGACGAGCTTGAGCCCTGAGTCCTACCCATGCCACATCTCTAGGGAGAGGCGGGCCATCTGAGTTAATGAGGTGCTAGAAGTTGCTGGCAACAGGAGGCAGCCAATGGGAGCGTATGTCTTCTCTGAAGAGTAGGGGGCAGGCTGGGGACTTGAGCAGGTGGTGGCAGATCCGGAAGACAATGCATCCAAGGTGGCCAGACCACTGTACCCAGCTGCTGCTGGTTTACACCAGCACCGGGGCCTCCTGCTCTTCTCCCTGACGGCTTTCCTCCTGATCACAGGGCAAGGAGTAAGGAGTCTAGAGATAAATGAGAGAATTCCAGACTTGTGGGGAGACGAATGGGCAGACAGAACACCGATAAAGGTAGACACAGAAGTCATGAGCCAGGAACCATGCGCACACATTAGAGGGATCAGTTCCTACGTAGGAGAGGCAAGGAGGGCTTCCTGGAGGAACTGAGCTCTGTGGTGAGACCACAGTGCTGAGCACCAAGTGTATTGCTGGTGGGACCACAGGGAGGACCTCTGCAACAAACAGTGAACGCAGACCAGGTGGTGTGGGGAGATGCGGGACGGAAGCCTGGAGTGTGTGATGGAGAACACTTGTCCCAGCTTCCTAAGAGGCTGAAGCGGGAGCACTGTGTGAACCCAAGCGCTCACAGGCAGCTTGTGTGGCATAGTGAGAGCCTGACACAAAAACAAACAAACGAGGCTAACCAGACCGCTTGCTCTGGAGACAAGGCTGCAGGCCTGAGTTTGATCCTCAGGACCCACGTAATGGAAGGAAAGACTCTGACATCCACACACACATAAATATAGATGTAAAAAGAGAAAAAAAGGAAACAAGCAAACAGGGCCAGGGGTGTGGGTCAGTTGGTAGAACGCACCAGGCTCTGAGTTTGGTCCCTGGCACCAGTATAAACTCGGCATGGTGGCATCGGCCTCTTATTCTGGCGCTGGGAAAGTGGAGGCAGGAGCGTGAGAGCTTCAGTATCATCCTGGGATACATGAGGCTTGTGTCTAAACAAACAAAAAAGAATATGGAAACGGAGGGCTTCCCAAAGACTCCAGAGGAGCACTTGGACGGCATGCTGCTGGTCATGGAGCAGGAGGCAAGCGGCATGCCCCGGCGCCCCAACCCGAGACCTCCCGGCCACACGGGTCCCGAGGCCCTGCAAATTGTCCTCGTGCCCCAGCTTCCGGTCCGCCCACCCTGCTCACTCCCACGCCAAGCGCCCTGCACCTGGCCCCCAAGAGCAATCTCGTTGACCCAGAGTGACCCCAGAGCTTCCGCATCCTTTCTGTGCTCCACACGGGCTTCTGCTTGCCTTTTAATGATTGCTCCCTAGAGCATCTCTGGACAGACTCTCCCAGACCTGATTTCCATCTTAACCAGAAGCGGAGCCTACCTATCTCCTATTGCATGCTGCGTGGGGTAGTGAGAACCGGCGTGAGGTCAGCACGTGGCCTCTTTAAGCTTGAATCGGGGAAGTGAACTGGAGACCTGTAGACTTCTCAGTTGTCTTCTACTAGGTTAAGCGTCCCCACATGGTCTAGCATCAGTTGTGTGGTATGTGGGGTGAAATTCAGCAATACCAGGTCTTGGGTTTTGCTTTTTTTTTTTGAGTCAGAGTCTTGCTGTGTACCCCTGGCTTGCCCAGAACTTGTTATATAGGCCAATGTGGACTTCCAATTTAGGGTCATCCTCCTGTCTCTGTCTTCCGAGTGCTGAGATTCAGATGTGCGTCTAGTTTTCTTGAGTTTTAGGAAAGTAGAACTTCGAAGGGAAAGACCAAGTCCATGATAATAAGGTTTGTTCGTCAGGTATTTGACATTATCTTGTACCAGACACAGAAGACTGGATCCTGGGGATGCAGGCACAGACGGAAACCAAGCCTTTCCTTCATGAAGGACTGATGCACAAAGAGAACTTCTTGCTTGTGTGTGTGTATGTATGTATGTGGTGATGCACACCATTAATCCCAGCACTCGGAAGGCAGAGGTGAGTTCAAGACTAGCCTGGTCTAAAAGAACTAGTTCCAGGACAACCTCCAAAGCCACAGAGAAACCGTGTCTTGAAATGACCCCCCATATATATATGTGTGTGTGTGTGTGTGTGTGTGTGTGTGTGTGTATGTATATATATATATATTATTTGGAGCCAGGTGTGCCTTTAACCCCAGCACCCGGGAGGCAGAGGCAGGTGGATCTCTGTGAGTTTGAGGCCAGCCTGGTCTACAGAGTGAGACTCCAGAGAGTTTGTTTTGATAGCTCCCTGGGGACATCTCACCTTCCAAGCCAAGCATCTCTGGGTGATACTGACTTGAGGGGGTAGACCCCATTTCTTCTGGCGTTCAACGGCCTCCTGTTGGATCCCAGTCACGATTTCCACGTTTCTCCTGCTTCTCCCTGTGTGTCAGCATCCCTGAATCTGCCTCCGCTTTCCTGACGCTTTTGCTCAAGCAGTCTCCCTCAGTGGTACCCAAAATGCCCCCTGGCCACACTCACATCCCTCAAATCCCTCTCAGCCTGGTACTCAAGGCCCTCCCTGCTGTCACGGGTCCTGCTCATAGCGTCCCTTCAAAAGCGCTGTTGTTATTTCAGTCTCGACCACAACTATCTGTATGTTCTTCTCCGCCCTTCACTGAATGCTCCTGAAGCAGGGACGGCCCCTGGGATAGAGCTTGGTGCTAGCCTGGTGAATGCCCTGAACTGACTTGCTGGGAGACCCAGAACCTTGTCCCCTCTCTGTCCCTGCCTGCTCGTTAGAGGGCCAGTGTCTGAATGATTTTACACTGCCACCCCTGGTCTGGTGCAGGGCTAAGCGGGTTCTGTGGATGGGGCTGGCTCG